TTTTTTACTCAGACACAGTCTCTAGTATATCATATTGTATTATATGTACTAGATTATGATTATCACTTATTTACTATTTAACACATTTCCACGTGTTGAGGAGGACTGAGAGGAGCCATGGGTATGTTAATAGGCACCACAGTTAGCGAGTTATTTCAGTTGCCATGGTTTCTTTAGGACCTGACAACCTGCACGCTCCTGTCTGCTCAGTATTCGTGGCGGGGGGGGGGGGGGGGGGGGGGGGGGGGGGGGGGGGGGGGGGGCTCATGTTCTAGAGTGAGGCCAGAAATGGAGATGCTGATTTGGGGACCTTTACAAATAGAGGACCATAAGGTCAAGCAAATGAAGAAGAAAATAGAACCATGGAAGCACGGAGGCAGGAATGCACCAAGGACAGGGAGTTGAGAGAGATTCGAAGGAACACTCGGAAAGATTGCTCAAGTCATTTGAGAAACATCACATTAAGCAAAATGAATTGGTCTACAGCAAATGCTGGTGCACAGAGTTCAAGTAAGATAGAGGTGAAAAGCTGTCATTCAGTTGGGTGATTTGCAAGTTCATGATAAAGTTCAAAAGAGCAGTTTGATAAGAAGGTGGAAGCTGTAGGCTGGAAAACAAAGAAGAGGCAGCAGGGGAGTTATGAACTTCTAGCTAGAGAGGATGTTGAGAAAGCCAACAGGATCCGGACAAGGCAGACAAAAGTCAAGAAGGGACGCCACCTCTGCTTCTGAACTGCTGCACTGTGGTCCCCTCTCTGTGGCCATGGGACTCCTGCATGCTGGTACGTCTTCCTACAAATGGGAGGCCAAGGGACAAAGGCTCTCACACTTTCTCTCTGCTCCCTCCTTTACTCTGCAGTCACTCTTAAGTAGCATTGCCAACAACCAGGGTGCTTACACAAGGTTTGTGCAGCATCACAGGATGTTATTGTAATGACCCAGTCAGTCTCAGACTCTTTTCCAGCCACTTCCAGTTTGTAGCAGGTTGCCAGACAGCATTAACGATTAGCAGAGCACATGGCTGCTTCTCCTAGAGAGACATTTCCTCTTGTTACAACACTTCTTGATTGGTCAGATATACGGGGCCCTTAACTCTTCAGCATCCCAGATCTGATACTATCCGTAAAGCTGTGCTGTAGAACAGGAGCAGGTATAAAAGGCTGACACCACCCAAAGGACGTTCCAGAGGAAAATTATTACTAAGTAAAACTTTCAAATACTCCCACCTTTCATACCCACACATACAGTCCTGTCAACCATCATTAAGTCAACCGGCAACCTTACTGTTGACACAGGGGTTTGATTTGGGGGTCCATTAAGTATGGTCAGAATGAGGAGATCCACCTGAGCGTGGTGGCTCACTCTTAGCGCATGGGAGATGGAGGCAGGAGGCTGAGGAACTGGCTACACAGCAAATTTAAAGTTAGCCTAGACTACATAAGAATTACCACAGAGGAATTAATGGATCCATGAGCCTTTGAGAAGGAGTCTAATCACTGCAAATAAACATTTTCTTCCCCACTGTTTCCAAAGTTCATGAGCCTCATGAGACTAAGAATTGATATGTTGACATGATGTGCATTTAGCTAGCCTACTTGGAAAGATCACTTCAACTCACTGATGGGTAGTGGTGATCACCCATGAGTAGGCCAGAACACCTACTGTGTAATGCCAGGGAAATACTGAATTGATGTGGCAGGAATCCTAGCATCTCCTATGGAACTGAAATAGCCCAGGAAGATGAGTCTTGGTATTTAATAATTTTGAAGAACAGATGTATCATGATGGAGCAGGGTGCCCAGAGATTCGTGTTCTCCTTTTTTTGGATGTCATTTCTCTCTCTGTGTCTCTCTCTCTCACACACACACAAACACAAATACAAACTCATGCATACATGCACATTTACACACACACACACACACACACACACACACACACACACACACACACACACACACAACTAGTGCAACAGAGAATCGGTTGGGGGAAAGTTTAGTTTAAACAAAATCTTGCTTAAAAGTTTATACAAATAAACAGAGAACTCAGAATGGGGAGTCCCTCTATTGGGGGTGGTATTTAAACAAAAGCTTGTTTAAAAGTTTAAAGAAGTTAATACAGAAAACAATGAGTAGATTTGGGAATGATGATTTAAAAAGAAAAGTAGGAGCCCCATCCACTTACTCTTCTCATACACTCCTTTAGGCAGACCCCAGGGATCCAAAATGCCTAGGAACACCATTAGTGGGAAAAGTCACAAGGCCGTGGGTAGAATGGCAATGGATTTGAAACTGTCACATTCTTCAGGGTGGAACCCAACCTAGGGTCAAAGCCAATCCTGGGTGCCAGCATGGGGCTACATCGCTGAGCTCATCAGTAACAGCTTTTCTCTCATGTCTCCAAAACTTTGGAAAACAGTGTAACCTCCTCTCCCTCTAAAATGGTAGCTTAAAGATTTTCTTCATAAATTTTGAAATTAAGATTAGATTTCCAGAATATTTAAAACATAGCTCTTTAAAAAGTTGTATTCTGTCTTAAAGTTAGACAAAGGTAATGAAATGCTAGAGTGAGCTGGTAATACAAACCATACAAAACAATAATAAGAACGTTTATAGTATTCACTGTCTCTCCTTGAATACTGACCCCCACTCTACTTCTTCTACAGACTCTTAACCTCATGTATTTTTAAACACAAGATCTTGCTTATTTATAAAGATAAAAATTTAAAAGATCTTTAATTTTCTGGAACCGTAAATCTCTGCAAGTTAATTTTTTTAAATGTCACCAGCATGACATTTATTTTTAGTACGCAATTAAGATGTGACAAATACACTCTAAATTTTGGGTTGGAGAGGTGACTATGCAGAAGTCAGCTGACTAGTGTGCTAGCTTATGGGGACATTCTCCCTATTTATAAAAGCCAGAATTCAGAAACTCCAGGGTAAGGTAGAAAGTTCCAAGCTGACAAGGACAGGTGCCACTGACTAGAAGACTTGCTTTGATTTGAGTTGTGCACATCTTGGTGTCTGGTCAGCCCGTGGTCAGCAGTGCATCTGCATCTTCAGACATATGCCATCCACCCTGTAGCCTGCATCATCTGTTACTGCGGTACAGTCTGAGGCAATTCAGATTCTCTACACAGTAATGGCTCTAGGAAGCCATTTCTCTGAAGAAGTAGAAAGACAACATTTAAACACAAAGGCATTGTTTTCACACTGGCCATAAATGTTTGAGCAGCCTTGGAGGGATATTGTACCCCTCTCAGCTTGGTCATGTCTCACACTCCACATCCTCAAAGGTGATGCAGTGTGAATTTGAAATCTTAGGGGTTTATGAAGGTAGAAATGACAAGTAGACAGCTTCTTTGTCAAAGTCTGCAGGTATCATCAGTAAGATGTCATTTAGATGCTACAAGTTCGTATGGCTGTGTGTAGTAAGAACTTGGACAAAATGAGCATTTCTAGAACTTATCTGTCTAAAATCATCTTTTAAAGGCCAATGGATCTGGTACAACCTTCATAGCCTCATTAGGGTAGGTCAAAAGAGTGATGAGAAAGCGGAAGGAAGCGGAAGGTTTGCAACACCCTCCTGCTGAAAATAAGAATTAACCCCATGATTATCAACTGAATTTCTACAGTTTCATTGGTTGGTTGTAGATACTAAGAGGAAGTTTTCTGTTTTGATTCAGGCCGGCTGCCTAAAAGCTTCCTGGAAGCCAAGACTCTGGAGTGTGGTCCTGGGAGGTGCTCAGCTCATCTGGTCCATTGCTCTGCTCTCTGGTAAACCCTTCACCTAACCTTGAGTACTTAGGAGAGATCCCAGAGCCACTTGGGAATAGTTTGGGATGGTAGCCTGCTGGGCGACATGGGAAACTGCTCACACCTAGAGACCTGAGAGAAAGACGCAGCTGATAGTATCACACTGATCTACAAGGCTTCAGAAACAATAAGCTGCTACATGCAGGGTCAACGTCATCATTAGACGAGGCAGACAGAGCACACGATATTCTCGGTGACTCACAAAAATATGTGAGCTTCTTTAAACATAATTTGGGGGACTGGAAAGATGACTCAACAGTTAAGGGCACTTGCTCTTTTTCCAGAGAACCCAGGTTTCATTTCCAGCACCTATATCAAGCGGCTTACAACCTCCTGTAACTCCACTTCCTGGGGACTGACATCCTCCTGACCCAGCCAATGCCTCTACGCAAGTGGTGCACATGAACTCACACAAGCACACACACATACAAAAATAAATCTTTTTAAAAATAAAAATGAATGTCTTCAAAGTCAGAGTAAACAGTTTGATATACAATATTAATACATTCATCGCTGCCTTTTAGTTGATGGAAACAATGGTGCAATCCTGGCTATGTCCAAATAAATCTTGTCTCTTACTATGCAGACCAGGCTGGCCTCACCCTTCTGATCCTCCTGCCTCAGCCTCCCAAGGGTTGAGGTTACCGGTGTGCACCACCATGCCTGCCTGCCTCCAGAGTAAAGCCTAGAGGCAAAAACACCACTGCAGAGGTGCTAGTGAGGGGCGGTGAAATATGGCAGATCCCCATGGGTCAAATAGAAACAGAATTTTATAAACAGGAAGAGAGTCGTTTCCAGGCCTGATTGCTGGCATTGTCTACCTCTTCTGGGGAACTGGCCTCTTCTGCCCCATGAGTTCCCACAGGCTCCAATAACAACCTCTGTATCCAAGGGGTCATACTTGATTTATTTCATTTTTATATCACAAGCACTTACAAGGAAGGGTCCATTTTAGTGCATGAATAAGTAGATGTGAAAGCGATAACTTATCAAGAGAAACAGCTAAGAGAAGTGAAGTGTGTGGCTGTAAGCAGGGAGATGTTTCTAACCCTAGCTTTGTTGAGGCCCTACAGTATTTCACTCATGCGGCAGGCATCGACTGAACAAGTATTATGGGCTAAACATTGTGATTCATGATGAGAATCCAGAGCTAAGAAAAGACCCACAATCAGCCAGACTCATAGTGATGGGTATGGGCCACATCATAGGAACAGGTATTGCAATATGGGGCAGTAAGAGATGCGGGAGCCTGAAGGGAGAAAGATGAAGTTTACCTGAAGCCATCGAGGGGAACAGAAGAGAGGACACTCTCCAGGGATGAAGGGGGGGTAGTCAACACAGTACGACAACCACAAAGGAAGGCAAAGACGTGGCCAGGCATGGCGGTGCCTGCTTCCGACCCCAGCACTTGGGAGACTGAGGCAGAGGTCCAGGCCAGCCTGGGCTATGCCGTAAGATCCTGACTCAGTGAAACAAAATAAATGAAGTAGGTGTTCTATAAGGAAGAAAGTAAACTTGGTAGGTACCGAGACCGAGCTAGCAGGAGGTTCCAGATCACAAGGCATCTCATTTCCATCACACATTCACGTGCTCCCTCATTTATGAAACAAGAGTAGACCAGGTGACCTCTCTGGTATCTTGAGATCACGAATATTTTAACATAGAATCTTTTAGAAGATGGCGCTTTCCTTTCTGACTTTGTATGCGCTTTTAAGTGGAAAATAGAAAATACTCCCTTTTTCCTAAAATAACATCAAGCAGGAAATAGCCTTGTTCTTGGCATCCATCTCCTGGTGAGCCATTCATCTTAAGTGCAGAAGTAAGCTTTGAATCAGGCTCCATCCAGTGAGTGATACTAACCCAGGTTTATCTCCCCCCCACCCCCCAGAGTTTGTACATCAGAAGGAAGTGGCAGCGTGGACCTATAACTACAGCACACGGGCATACACGTGGAATTTCTCACGGGCATTCTGCCAGAAGTACTTCACAGACTTAGTGGCCATCCAGAATAAGAATGAAATCGCTCACCTCAATGACGTCATCCCATACTTCAGCTCTTACTACTGGATTGGAATCCGAAAGATCAATAATAAGTGGACCTGGGTGGGGACCAATAAGACTCTCACAGAGGAGGCCGAGAACTGGGCGGAGAATGAACCCAACAACAAGAGGAACAACCAGGACTGCGTGGAGATCTACATCAAGAGTAACTCGGCCCCTGGCAAGTGGAATGATGAGCCCTGCTCCAAACGCAAGCGGGCCCTGTGCTACACAGGTGAGGCCTCCTTGGAACTCACGCCACCGTCTCTTAAAAATATGTCTTTCCTGGTTGAGGAATGTAACCAGTTGAGTCAGTCACACGGGGTCACAAAGTTGGGCACAAGAAAATGTAGAATTACAAAGCATTACTGAGCACCTTGGACAATGTAAGATCAAGATTAGAGAAAAGCATCTATTTGAAACCAAAAGGGACTTTAGCACTGCCCTTATTACCGAAGACACGATGCTCAGGAAATGTTACTTTCTTAAGGCTGTGAGGTTTTCAAAACAAATTTACAAGATTGAAAAGGCATTGAAAATTACTGACATAGTGGAGCTATTTCCCTAACAACCCAATATTCTAGACATACTGACGTCTACTGACGTTTTGCACTGTAAGATGTAATGAGGCTTCCTGTGAGAGAGAGACAACACGTAGATAGGAATATTGCAATGAGACATTAAGTTTGGTTGCTGAGATAATTATCTGCAGGATTTGTCAGGTCTCAGCACACGTTATCATGAAAAGATTTATTCTCTGAGTCTCTGTTAATCTCCTTCCTGGAGACCCATATCTGTTTCCTAACCACCTTGGAGTAAAAGTAGGCATTAGGGAAGAGATACTTTCTATTAGAAAACCCATTTTGCAACCCATTTTGCTTGACTCAGAGTTCCTCTGTCCACACATCTATTTGTGACTGTGCTTGTCGCTCTGTGTCTACACATAGCTGTGCCCTCATTTGGAAATACTAAATGCGTCATCCAACAGGAGCTTTCTAATACTCCTATGGTGACGTCAGGACTGGAAACCCCATCATCTAGAACTTTTCTGCGCCACCATGCATTAGCGTAAGAAGGTACAGATTGAGAGGAAGTTTGTCACTGTCCCTAAGAGACACCACTGAAATGAATACCCACTAGTACTGAATGGCAATTGCACTGAGCGTCACTCTATGGAGTTCTGTTTATGTCATTTGTTTATTTAGTATTCGTCGCACTTAGTCCTCATGACACTTCATCAGCCAGGCCCTTCTATTGTTCTTATTGTAGTAATGTCTTCCACGGGGCCGAGGGCAGTCCTCTACATGGCTCACGAGAGGGTGGAGCCTGTGCCTTCTGTGATTCTGACCTCTCTTATATCTGTGCAGCTTCCTGCCAGGACATGTCCTGCAACAAGCAAGGGGAGTGCATTGAGACCATCGGGAACTACACCTGCTCCTGCTACCCCGGGTTCTATGGGCCAGAGTGTGAATACGGTGAGGCTGGCACTTGGGTGGTGTTGCTTTGGCGGTTGAGCTTACATGAGAGATAATGCCAGAAAGTGAAATACAATGGAGCCTCTCTAGCAAGCAAAGGCGAGTGGGAGATCCTGCTATCTGCCTGCTCCACACAAGTATCTCAAGACACCCAGGATAAAAATCACTTTATTTTGGGAGAGAACATTCACTCATAATATTTCAAGGAATAAAAGAGAAATACAAACACAGGAAGACAAAAATGAAAGCCTTAAAGTTTAATTTTACCAATTTGAAATAAAAAATGGTGAATGAATTGAGCTGTCCAAAAAAGTGATTATTTTCTAAGCTGCTGGCAATACAGAGGATCCGGGTTAAGACAGAGGGCTCGGGTTAGGAGCCTAAGGAGGGAGAGCAAAGAGAGTTGTAATTTGCTGTAGATGCAGCAGAGATTTTAAGTCTACAATGAGAAAAATCATTATTTTTGTTCCCCACAGTCAAAGAGTGTGAAAAGTTTGACCTTCCTCCACACGTGCTCATGAACTGCAGCCACCCTCTAGGGGTCTTCTCTTTCAGCTCACACTGTACTTTCCACTGTGTGGAAGGGTATGAATTGAGTGGACCCAGCAAGTTGGAGTGTTTGGCTTCTGGAATCTGGACAAATAAACCCCCACAGTGTAAAGGTATGCAGACCTTATTTTTTCCATCCTTACTAAATAATTAGAATTTGGGAGACTATATATGGGGCAGTGAGTTTTCCATTAAAAAAGCTTGTGAAATAGAGGCTGAAAAGAAAGTTCAGTGGTCAAGAGCACTAGATGCTCTTCCAGAGTATCCAGGTTCAGTTCCCACTGTACTCATGGTGGTTCACAGCCATCTATAACTCCAGTTACAAGAGATCCATTGCCCTCTTTTGGCCTCTGCAGGCACCAGGCAAACATATAGTATTCTGACATACATGCAGGCAGAACACCCATACACATCAAATCTTTTAAAGTAAATTAAAAAATAAAAACTTAAGAAAAGAATAAGAATCTGCATTAGCTGGAGATTCTAGTTACCACAACTATTAGTCAATCAGGTTAACCCTGATTTCCATTTTCATGGTACATCTCCTACCTATGTAGAGGTGGTAGTTTAATTTTTTTATTCCTAGGCAAATTCCTTTTGTTACTTGAAAAGTGAACTGTGAACAATAGTGGGAACTTAGGATTGACCTTATATCATTGCTTCTTAACCAGAAAACCATGGCTATTTGAAACCCTGACCAGCCATTGAGTTCTACTTAACCAACTAAGAATGACCTTTGGTCAAGTATAGATGGCACAGAATTATCAAATTTCCAAAGTACTGGATGAAACTTGTTCCAGAATGAATATCATGGCTCTGTGCTTATTCTTGGCCTCCCAGTGCTCAGCCATGAACAGTCCTGAAGGAGGAAGGTTGGCCGGCATCTGGCCTACAGGAACATTCCAGCATTAGTGAAGCTGTAGATTCATTGTGAAGAGGGACTCACTTCAATTGGCCCCAGATGGAACAATGGAGTCCCTCGGGGTGGGAATAGCTCCAGCCTCTGAGTGTTAAAGCAAATGTCAGGACATTGAGATGTATAATATCCACTCCACCCTGTCTTAGCTGGAGCACAGATGAAAACTGGTCATCTCACAGAGAAGCTGTTCTGAATTGTCAATTTTGAATTTACCCTCCTTCAGCTACTGAGCTAGATTGCTTCACTCTGGGGTGGGAAAACAGTATCAGTCTGTGGAAAAACAAAGGGCTGATTTTGCTATGCTCAAAATAGAAAACTCTACTCTTTCCCCAACTCATATACCACAAACAGTTTCAGAATGGTATTATTCGTGTATTTCATATAAGAGGGCAGATACATCAACACACAGACCTTCAGGGACAGACTTACAATACACAAAGCATAAAGAATGTTAAGGACAGAGCTTGGAGGGCTCTGTGTTAAGATGTTCAGGTCACTCTGAGGATTGATACTCCATGTCAAAATGGCTAGAGCTTCCTGATTGCTACATCTTCCCAGCTCCATCTGTGTTTCCACAGGCAGACCCACACTGTTCTTTGTGGGTGTGGCTTCCCTCTATGCTGGGTATTCTCCCCTTTCTTTAGCATTGGTTTTTCTGTTTAGCTGTGCAGTGCCAGAGCCTGGAGGCCCCTATCCATGGAACCATGGACTGTATGCACCCAATCGCTGCCTTTGCCTATGGCTCCCGCTGTAAGTTTGAGTGCCATCCTGGATATCAAGTGAGGGGCTCAGACATACTCCATTGCACTGATGCTGGCCAGTGGACTGGACCATTGCCAACCTGTGAAGGTAAGATTAGTTTTATCAGTACTCAATATAACCTAGAAGGAGCCGTGCCATGTTAGAATGACCAAAGGCTCTTAAGGACAAGACAGCCCCCTCTAGGATCATATTTGTTCAACCTCTGGGAGATTTCTCATCTGTGAAATGAGGCTAAGAATTGCCAGGCGCATTGTGAGAGTTAGACATATGAAATGCACACAATGAAATAGAAGTATAAGCAGGATGTGGTGTCCCATGTATGTAATCTCAGCACTCGAGAGCCCAAGACAGTAGGGTTTCTGCAAATTAAATGTCAACCTGGACTGCACAGTGAGCTGGAGGCCAGCTTGGACTGCATGACACCCTGTCTAAAACGCACATTAAAATAAAGAAAAGCCTAAGGAAAGAAGAAACAGCAGGTATAAAATCCAGAGGCTAGACGTGGGCACTTGCTTACTTTAGGGTCTGCCTATTTCAACCACATCCCCTTCCTGTCCCCTGGCATATGCACGCTGCAGGGCAACATCTCATACTCAAGAAGAAGTTATAGCAGTAGCTATGGGAATCACGAGACATCTGGGCTCAAAAAGCTTTGGAGGTAGACTCTGCAAAGGAATAAAGGAGTCTGCATTAAAGAATAGCTGTGGTGCAGACCTGGGTGATTATGTAATATATGAAGACTGAATTGTGTGTAGCTGCTTCATCCCTTTATCTTATAGGGCAGAGATGGGGGAGAGAAAGTGGGAGGTTGAAGGTTGGATGAGTAAACTCCCAGACCTGGATGACAAGCCCAGCTCAAATCCTGTTAGCTGTGAGGCTTCTGGGGGGCGGGGCTAAGGCAAGGGCTCAGTGGGTAAAGTACTTGCTCTTCAAGCCTGAATACCTGAATTTGGGTTCTGAGAATCAGCATAAAAGCCAGGTGTGGTGGCATGTGCCTGGAACCTCAGCATTAGACCTGGGGAACTACAGGCTAGAAGATCCCTTGAGTTCTCTGGCCAGCCGGTCTAGCTGCAGCAGCGAACCCCAGGCTCAATAAGAGACTCTGTCTCAGAAATAAGGTGGAGAGTGATAGAGACAGAAAACTGACATCAACCTGTGGCCTTTACACCAGCACACCCGGACAGTTGCATGCACATGCAAGCGTGCATGAGCATGCTCACGTGTGCATGCGCATGCATGCACATGCACATGCGCGCGCACACACACACACACACACATACAACTCAACACATAGACTTTAGGGAGATTGCATGGCATTTCTGATTCCCATTTTTTTTTCTTGAGTATAAAATAAAAGAGGAGCTCCGGGAGGTGGTGGCGCACGCCTTTAATCCCAGCACTCGGGTGGCAGAGCCAGGCGGATCTCTGTGAGTTCGAGGCCAGTCTGGGCTACCAAGTGAGTTCCAGGAAAGGCGCAAAGCTACACAGAGAAACCCTGTCTCGAAAAACCAAAAAAAATAAATAAATAAATAAATAAAAATAAAAAAAATAAAAAATAAAATAAAAGAGGAGCACTAGAGGACATCTGGCCCTTACATGCTCTGATTCTGTAAAAACTAGAGGTGAGAGTGAAAGGGTGGTCTCTGTGCTCTGCAAATTCACAGGAGTATCTAGAAGTATAGAACTATCCACAGAGGGTTTGAGGAAACTGGTCTTTATGAGAACTGGGGTCATTCAGAGCATAGCTGTGTGCAGGGACCCACTTTGGGCTGCACTCATTTGGCGAACAATGTCTGATTAGGATGACATCCAGTGTTCTAAGACACAGCCCACTTGGAATCATCATATAGCACTAGATCAGAGCATCTACAGTAAGGGATACTATTCCATCTGCTTCCTCATAAGCCCACTTTTTCTGTATCTGTTCTTTTATAATCCGATAAACTTTTAATGAGCACCCAGAATTTATCAAGCAGAGTGTAGGGCTCCAGAATACAGTTCTGAATGACTACCCCAGCATCAAGGAGACTGAGCTGTAAGAGGGAAGAACTGCAACCATGCATAACTAGCACAGTGCAGGGTCTGAGGAACCCACACAAGGAGTCCCTACCCCTCAGTTTGGGTGGAAAAGAAGCCTTCGGAAGGAAAACAGTGTCAAAACTGAGATCTGAAGAGTGAGCCAGCCAAAGAGGAACATGGGAAGGGTAGTTTTCCTTTTGGACAAAGAAAGTCTTGAGGTTTTGAATATGTAGGCAACGTGGGCAGAAAAGCAGCAGCCTCTCCCAAGAGACTCTACAGAGAAAGACCTAGTATCTGAAAATTTCCCTTCAGCCATTGCGTGTGACCCTCTGGAGAGCCCCGTCCACGGAAGCATGGATTGCTCCCCATCGGCAGGAGCGTTTGAGTACAACAGCAGCTGTACATTCAGTTGCGCAGAGGGCTTCATGCTGAAGGGGAACGATGCCATTCGGTGTGCCGACTCAGGACAGTGGACAGCCCCAGCTCCAGTCTGTGAAGGTACCGTAACACCAAATCATTCCTCTGGGCCTCTCGGGTACAGTGGGCACTCAACACTATCATTCGCTTATCTGTTGGACATTCACAGAGAGCCTGAGACGTGCTGGACTCTTTGTATCTGATGTCAGGGATCAAAGAGTGGGCAAAGCAAGTTTTCAGCACAGTGTTCCCAACAGCATTGTCAAGGTGAGAGTTGCTTTGGTCCACATGTTCGGAGAGAGCCGAGGAGATCAGCGCTGAGGGAAAGAATAATGTATGAGGAACGTCACGAGATGGTAGAAGAGGAATGGACAAGGCAGTTTGTCTAGCTCTATCATTTTTTGTCAGCAGGCTTTGGAGTTTTCTGAGTTCTGTGACTTCTGGTAAAACAGGGCACAAATAACCAGCTTTTCCTGCTTGTGTCACCAACAGTTGTGGGTCAGTGTATTCTAAAGCCACTAACACCGCTGTCAACTTCATAAACACAGAGAAATCCATAACGAAACAGTTACTTTGTAAATCCCAAGTTTGTGTCTTATCTGAAAAAATTGACTCTCCTTAGTATTTCATGTTCTCGGTGTCTTGCTTTAAAATAAAGACTAAGTCACAAGGAGGTCACTGGGACTGCCTCATTTTACAAAGGGTATCTGTACAAAACCAAGATCCAGAAGTATGTGGGAGCATCTTATGCCTTCATTTACTGGTACTCTTCAACAATCTGTGTGAATCCCGGACCTGTGTATACCCTGATTTTGAGATGAGCTATTGGTTCTCCAGTGATTTGCAAGTGGGACTTGAAGGGATATGTGTATATTCAGGTTCAGAGCGGCTCTATTCAAACAGTAAACTGTGGAAGCAAGTGAGCATCAGTGGGTGGAAGGGATAAACAAAATCTGGTATTCATATATATTAAAATACTATTCAGCTTTAGAACGGGAATTCCAACACATGCTCCAATATGGATAGATCTTAAAGACAATGATAAGGAAAATGAGTCATCCTCCAAAAACCAAGTAACATATGAGCTTATCTGTGTATATTGATGAAAGCAATATAACCAGAGACAGAAAGTAGAATGATAAGGGAGAGGGAAAGGGATTGCTGTTAGTGAGCATGGAACTCAGCCTGAGATCTTGAAAAGAGTCCTGGGGGTGAGTGGTGACGAATGCTATCTGACAATACAAATGCAAATGGACACAGAACTAGACACTTCAATTAGCCAAGTGGCAAATGGTAGATTGTATACTTCACGTGCTTAGCATGATGAAAACAGTGAAAAGAAAACCAGTTAGTGGAGGAATAAAAGTGCATGCCTTATGGTGGTAAAACAGTGAGGATGATTGAATGTGCTGCTGTGTATTGTCTAGGAGACGGAGACATGCTAAGCCCTGTGACTTCCTTTCAAAGGATCACAAGGGATTGCTCAAGCCACTCTGTATCCAGGCGAGTAAATGTCAACTGATCCGGAACAGATGGTTGGATATTTTCTTCAGCATCTGGAATTGAAGCCTCAATAACTCCTTTTATTGTCCTCACTGGTGTCTCTTCAGCAATAGTCAAGGTCTACAGCTGCTGTGCAGCCTTGAGGCTAGCTCTGGTGTCTGCTAGTGCCTCTGCGGCTGCTACTGAGGCTAGGAGCCAGGGTTTATCGAGCATTCCCTGTGATCACAGATAGTCTAATGCCAAGAGGTAGTGAAAGCTATTATTCATATTTCAGAGGTGAAAAATGTGAAATAAGTGTGTTCTCTCCATACAGGACTATCTTACATATTTACAGATAATAGTGTAGTGATAGACAGTGAGAAGGAGCAGATAGGGCAATGGGGATGAAATGAGAAAGGTACAATTATATATGGGGGTACATGTGTGTGTGTGTATTTATATATAAAATGTCATAATGAAACCCATCATTTTGTATGCTAACCAAAATTGTTTTACAAAAGACCACACTTTGATCATGATCATAATTTTATTCTGCTTTTCCATTTAACATTATACATAGATATACCTCCAAAATCTTTTGCAAGTAAAACACATGAAATTTAAGAACTATGAATATTCCTTTCATGAATTCATAATTTACTTGGTGAGCCCCCAGATTTATGCCTCATTGATGCTTGTTTTATTCTTACAAACAATGCCTTGACAAAAACCCCTGAGTTGATTTTGGTATAAATCTCAGGAATCTCTATACTTTTCAGAGATTCTTGAGTCCAAAGATATGATAGCTTAAGACTGATTGATTGATTAGTGCATATTACCAAACTTTTCTACACTGGCTATACTAATACTGATGTAGCCAACACTGGTTCAAACTTTTGCCCTTGTAAAATCCATCAACTATCATTGACATTAATGACAACTTTTTTTTTTAACTCTTCTTAGTCAAACAAACCCAACTCATGAGTCCTTATTCTTTCACTGAAGGGGCTAATGGATTAAAGTCAATAACACTTGTGTCTGTCTCCTCACTCCCTGCCTTCTTCCCTCCTTAGCATTGCAGTGTCGGGATTTTCCAGTGCCGAGAAAAGCTCAGATGACCTGCTCAGACCCCTTTGGTGCCCTGAAGTACCAGTCAGTCTGCAGCTTTTCCTGTGATGAAGGCTCACTCTTGGTGGGAGCAAGTGCCATAAGATGCTTGGCTACCGGAGACTGGAGTGGGGCTCCTCCGGAATGCCAAGGTAAGAATGCATTCTTCCCATTTTCATTGGAAGTAAATTGGAAGCAGTATTCTTAAAGGCTATGTCTGGGGTGGTAACTGTGTAGGGTCTACCCTGAAACTAGCTGGAAAAGAGATGGGTACTGTCACTAACTCCTTCATCCTGTACCCCAAGAACTCTGAATACAAATGTAATCAGAGGCTAAGCAGATACTGCGAGTGTCAGGATATTTGGCAATGATGCTAGCAATGCAGTGACCTTTGCACTGTCCTTATCAGAATCTACATCAGGACTAACAGGCTCCTATCATGAATGTTACTCATCTATTAAACACAGCACCTAAAAAGAAGATGGAAAAGAAAACTTAGCTCTGAGTGTTTGTTCCAAGGCTGGTCCAGCACTTTCTTCTTCTTAGGGACAATGGTATGTCCTAGTGCCTCTGCGGCTGCTACTGAGGCTAGGAGCCAGGGTTTATCGAGCATTCCCTGTGATCACAGATAGTCTAATGCCAAGAGGTAGTTGGAATGAGAAAGGTAGAATTACAGAACCACGTTGCAAGCATTCTCCGAGATCTGTATAATAGTGGAGAAGCATGCTTAGGATAGAGTGGGGAGGACCAGGGAAGGGAAGATACACACCATGAACTAGAGATTAGAGCATCTTCAGAAAAAAAGCAGTGTGCAGATTCATTAAGACCATTTATATCTGTGTTAGACTTGATGGCAGAAAGTCACCGTGCTCTGTGAGCACCACATCATTCTGTGTGAAGTGGAGCTGGTCTAATCACCTGACTTGACAGCTTGAAGGACAGATGCGTGATTTTCAAATTTTCCCATTCCTTTTCCTTTCAGTGTATCCAATGCCTTAGCCAGATTTATAACAAACACTTTTAACAAAACAAGATTCTCATTTATAAAGTCTACAAATAGTAATACAATAAGAAAACAGAAAAATAAAAAAATATCCTCTTAAATACGAACTCCCAAAAATAAATATTGCTAACATTCTAGCACAAAGTGCTTCCTATATTTTCTCATCTAATTTTTCCTTTGTAATAGTTATTTTTACTGTGTATATTCAATTTTAATAATACTCTTAATATGTGCAATATGAAATATTTCTGTGTTATTTGTCATGCCTTTAACTTTGTATAGGCCTTCAATATCTAAGTAAAAGCAAGCAGGTCATGTTTTTCATGAGGAGGAAACCACTTGCTGTTCAGGTCACAGAAGTGTACACACATACACACACACACACACACACACACACACACACACACACACACACACACCATTGTAAATCCAATAATGCCTGTATGAATAACTAAAAGAATTAATTAACAGCATAATAGGGTTTCCTTCATGCCAGGCATGAGAACCTATGGTGAGCAGGAGTTGGGGTTGGGAATGAGGAGTTGGGTCTGAAGAGAGCAGAGTGAGGCTGTGAACTTGCTCCTTCAGCTCTCATCCTCACCACCCTGAAGTCGGTACAACTTTAAAGAAGAGCTCAGAATTCCTGAGCAGGGTTATCAGAATGATCAGGCCCTTCCGGGAAAGCCAAACCACGAATTGCCCCACAGTCCTGCCTATGGGTGTTCACAGCCAGGAGGTTGCTACTCAGCCCAGCTTCCTGTGACCTCCCAGTTCCCTTCTGCTTCTAGCCCTTTGTTTACTCTGGGGGAACTTTCTCCTCTTCTTGCTGGGTGCACATCAAGTGAAATACTCACTTGTGGTTGAGGCAGGAAGGTACCATGAGGCCTGAAATCCACAAGCTATTGTGACACTTCCGAGGGAGAGCGTGTTATCAGATCATTTCCCTGTCACTGTCCTCACAGCCCTCCGCACTCAACCTTGCAAAGTCATGGGAGAGCTGGAAATGACTCCACTAAACCAAGGACCCACACCCCTTTCCCCTTGGCATCTCCAGCTTACAGTCCTCCCATCCCTGACCCCCCCCCACATACACACACACACTGAACACAGGAAGACTTTGCACGTGGCAGACGGTACCTCAGGCTCTGTAGAAATAGATTAGATTGAGAGGAGCAATGCTCGAGAGAGGAAGAAACCAAGGTGCCGCCAACACCTCAAAACGTCATGCTGCTGAGCAAGCTGACCAATAGGCAGCTGACCTGGGACAGCTGTACCACGTCCTCTGCTTGAAAGCCGTACACTGAGCAACCAAGCCAGGCAGCAAAGAAGTCCCTGAGCCCATGTTTACCATCAGTCTTCTCTTCTGAGTGTCAGCATGATTCCCTTGGGCTTCATCGCTCTGTGAGTTAGGAGGGGACCATCTTGACAGCTGCTGACATTGGTGCTGAGAACGTATTCACTCTTGGTCTGACTATGTCATTTTAAGATATTGAGATTCAGAGAGGTTAAGCGACTTGCCCAAAGTCACGCAGTATGATCACCAGCCCAAGCCAGTCTCCCAACACCTCCTACTTGTGTTTATAGATGGTGTCAAAGAACTGTGAGACCTGACTTAACTTTTACTGGAAAATGAACTGGGATGGGGGTGGGGGGCATTTATGCCTGGTCCTGCAGGTTGAGATGACTTCTGGGAAGAGGTGGAAGTTGGCACTTGTAGACAACTGATGAAATGCGTGCCTACTTTATTCCCTTTCATAGTTCATCTGTGAGTGTGACTCAAGTGACTCACTATATACCTAAGGGTAGCTTTAAGGCAAGAGTTACAGCTTTTCATATACTGAAAATGAGGCAACTGAGGTTGAAAAACTTGGGTCTCCATGCACAGCACAAGCTAGGATACCGGCCCAGATTCTCTCTACCACCTGCTGGGGATGGGAGAAAGAAATTCACCCCATTTTCCATCTCTGAGTTCTTGCCATTGTTTGCTGGAAGCATCATTAGGTTTGTTTCCCGAGAAGACATCAGGGGAGCAACTTTCCCTGAATTCTGGGGGCATCCAAAGTGAACGCCATGGCTATCTCTCCAGCGGGCCCTGAGGCCCTTTTAGAATCGCCTCAGAAACTCTGTGTGGGTAAGATCTCAGAATGACCGTCAACTGTAAGAAGCTGTGGCTGTCACCAGCTCCACGGCCTCTTACAGAGAAAGAGCCAGAAATGCAAACAAAAAAAAATTGCTGAACTAGCAAGCAGAGATAGACAGCACACACACACACACACACACACACACACACACACACACACACGCGCGGCTGGCAGGGGAGGGAGAGAGAGAAAAAGAGAGAAGATGGATTTCAGAACCCTGAGTTCTCACATGATCTCCCCCACCCCACCTTGTCTTTTCCACTCAGCTGTCACATGCACACCTTTGCTCGGCCCTCAGAATGGAACCATGACCTGTATCCAGCCTCTTGGAGGTTCCACTTACAAATCCACATGCCAGTTCACCTGTGATGAAGGATTTTATCTATCTGGACCAGAAAGATTGGATTGTTCTCCATCTGGACACTGGACAGGCACACCACCCACGTGTGAAGGTAGGCATGGGAGTCTGCCCTACCCTGTGACTTCTCAGATATCATCATAGAAGGAAGAATCATTAGCTCTTTGGGTGAAGGTGTTTCCAAGCTAAACACTAGGCATGAGAATCTGGATAAAAAAAATTTTTCTCCATGAATAACAAATTGAGTAAAACATTTCAGTCTTAACAATGTTTTCACATCATCATAGCTCATGACATCACCATTCTAGAATAATAAGGGAAGTCAATATCATCTCCATGCTACAGATGAGAAAAAAGCAAGCTCAGAGGTGAGATAATCCAAGGCCATTGACATTAACAAATGGTGCTACTCAGCTATGCACTAAAGCATTTATTTTCTTATAAAAACCCTTTCTCTTTTTCTACCATGCTCTCCAGCCGTTTATTCCTACCTCCACCTTCACCAACCCCGCTAAGTTTCAGACTAGTAACTTATTTGGGGATGGGTGTCGTTTAACCTAGCCTGGCTTTCATTTTTCCTCCTACTTCTTTATGGACTTTAAACTCACTGAGGCAGAAGCTGTGCTTCTTCCATTGTGTGTGTGTGTGTGTGTGTATGTGTGTGTGCACACATGCATACACGTATGTGTGTATAATATATGGGCATGCTTCTGTTGTATGTGTGTGTACAGGGGTAGTACACATGTGTATACAAAATCATTGATGTTGGGAGTCTTCCATTATTGCTTTTGACCTTATCTTTTAGACACATGGTCTCTCACAGAACCCAACACTCACCAATTGGCTATTCCAACTAGCAAGCAAGCTCCAGGGATTTATCTGTCTAAACATCCTCAGTGCTGGGATTACAGATGTGTGCAACCATGCCATGCCTTTACACAGAGCCCAGAGATCTGACCTAGGACCTAAGGTTTGCCTGGCAGATACTTTGCCCCCTGGGCCATCTCCTCAGCCCCTCCTTAACCTTCATATCACCTACAACAGTAGATGGAATCAAATGAGTGTGTAACAAGCATCTGTTGAACAGAAGCTTATCAGTTCCTGGTCACACTCACTCAAGCACAGCCCTGCTGACAGTGTCAACTGGTGGAACTCTCGAAAACAGGGTGGATCACACCTATCTTTGACTTCCTGGAAGCACCCAGCGGGCACAATGTATCGCATATAACTGCAGGCATATAGTACGTTCTAAAAGAGAAGTGCACCGTGTGAGTTAACGTATAGTTCCTCTTTGGTTTCGGAAGGGTTGTTGTTCCAATTTATTGTCCAGCATAGTCAGGGTTAGTAATAATGAGACCCACACTTCAGACATTTTCTTATTCAGTCTACACAAACCACCTCTAAAGAAGTTATATTCATTGCCCTCTTAAAGATGAAGAAAACGGGGCATCAAGAGAATGCATAGCTGTCAATAGGCACATTGAGAGAAGGGCAGAAAGACAGGCCGTGGGATGTTTTTACCACTATACCACATTGCCACCTAGTGGCAGGGCTTCTGAACCCCGGGTCTGGGCACTGGCCGCAGGTGTAACTTCGGAAGCAAGCCTTAGAAATGGTGGTGACTGGTGAGCAGCTGAGAGACTATGCCTTTAAAAATCTGTTAGCGTTGTGCAAAACAGCTAAAACATTGTTCATTCATCCCTACACTGATATCTCAAGATCTTACTGCTGTACTAAAGGGTATAAATGCCAACATTTGCTGTCCAAAAGATACACTAACCTCAAGGAGCCCAGGCCACGTGAGGAGGGAGAGTTTATGCCTTGTATATATTACTCATTCCTTTATTTCTCGCTGTTTCTGTCACTTACCCTACTAACATGTTCGGAAGCTACATTTCTCAGATTGTATTTTAAGGGCAAAGAACCAAATTCCAATTATAAATCCCATTAAGCTTTTAAATGATTGATGCAGCCAGTTGAGTTGCTAAACCTGTGATCTCCCACACCACTTCCCTCTACCCTGCCCCAGTCCTCTCTTCTGTTCAGGAAGAAGCATGTGCCTCCTGTCTGTGAGCCCAGGCTCCACCCAGGGACAGCACCTCTAAGAAGATGTGGTCCTCAGTATTGTCCATCTTCTTAACCCTACTTTTAAGATATTTTTATGTCTGTTCTTGCTTTATTAGCCACATTTACATTGTATATTTAGTTAAGGGAGTGATCCCTTTTCATTTTCCCACCAATCTTTGGAATTTTAACCCTTAATTCTGCCTAGGAACCCTGGTTCTCATGCACTATTTTTTTTCAGAACCCAAAAGGGACCACAGGACCTTGGGATCATCAGGAGGTGGGGCCCCCCACCTTCTCTCTCACTGTGCACTGAGGTTTCCAATTAAGGGGGGGGGGACTCACAAGTATTTCCATTTGGTGAGAACACTGATTCCCTGGGCCTGTTGGAACTTGGGATCTGCCTTCATTTCCCTGTCTCCACCTGCCCTTCCCCCTCAGGAAATCTTCTCCATGAGCACAGCAATGACTGAGGCACATCTCATTTCCATGATGCCATCTATGAGAGGGGTTGCTTAAGTCCAGTGGCTGTGTCCCTTCAGTCCCCACCTGTAGGCCACCTTCCCGACACAGACTATTGCTCTCCTCATCACTAACATGGTTCCTCACTCACTGTTCCTCGGGAGACATTGTTGGCCACTGAATTCAGCACCTGATACCTTGCTTAATCTTCTTAGGAAATGGAAACTTGGTCTTCCATCCACCTCCAGCTCCATCATTCCGTTTTTTTGGCTTACCCAAGTTCAGGTTCTGAAATACAGGGAACATATGCCCTCTGAACCCTGGGACAGTTTACTTCTCTATTTTTCTTCAGTTCTTGGGCTGTTTTAATGGACTGATGGAAGGCTCCACAAAACACCCACAAACAGCCTGTTACTACAAACACCTGTGCCAGTATGCCAACATACTTTTTCATGAGGTAGCACATAAAACTTAGAGAATCTTAGGAATCAAAATGGCTAAGCAAAATGAACCTGACATTACCTTCAGAATAACAGTGGATTCAAAGAAACAGCGGCCACTGTTGTCAATAGCTATTGGTAAATCATTCATGTGTCAGGTAATTGAATGACGAAAAGGATTGTGGTGAGAAAATTAGAAATGCATTTGCTCTGCCCTTTGACCTGTACTTGTTGACTGCCACTCCCACCCCCTGAGATACCAACAGTGGGAATCATGTTAGATAAAGTGAATGGTTGGGGTTTTAGAAGCTTTACATACAGTAGGTAAAGGAGCTGCAGTGTGTAACGTGACATTGTATGAGTTCCAACAATAAGTCTATGAGTTCAGGGAAAGGTCTGAAAATTGGTTTAGGGAGACTGAGTACTTGACTTCTTGACCTTTCCCTGTACATCTTTCTGCATGCCTACCTGCTCCTCCTTCCTGAAGTAAACATGTTTTATACATTGCAGCATGCCTGCTACTCAGCAAAATGCCTGAGAGACAGTAGGTAGTCAATAACTATTCATCAACTATTGAGAGGATAAACTATGTGAAACACAGAAGGTCTTAATAAGCACGATATTGGGACTTTCCCATTTGATATTCCAGCCATCAAGTGCCCAAGGATCTTTGCCCCAGATCAAGGCAGCCTGGATTGTTCTCAGGATCAGGAAGAATTCAGTGTTGGCTCCACATGTCGCTTCTCCTGCAACAAGGAATTTGAGCTAGTCGGATCCAAAACTGTGGAATGCATGGCTTCTGGAAGATGGTCAGCACCTCCACCAACCTGCAAAGGTAATGACGTGCTCACCGAGGAAGTTTTACTTAGGGTTATCTTTCCACACAGTTAACATGTAGCTAACTTATGTGGCAAGTGCACATTATACACTGTCAGTGAAGTGTAGTCAACACAGGTGTAGGTTTTTAAACTTTCTAAGAAGTGACAGGATTTTTCTGCTCTCAACTAAAAGATAAATGACTCTTATGAAGAAAATTTTGTTCACATCTTTAGGCCTATTTATCTCCAAGATCTTTATTGGGGAAAGGGAGCGGTACATTGTACTTGCTGAGAATGCCAGGTAGCAGTTATGGGCCAGGTGCTTGGAACAAGGAATCCAGATGCAGAGAGATCAAGTATCTTCATTCCATCACATGGCAAGTGTATGACCAGGCCAGTGACACAGTTTCCATTTCATCTTCGTGTTGACCTTGGGCCAGAGAATGGTCTGTCTGCCAACAACCCAGGGAGCACAGGCAGTTACTTGCATTTAATGTGGCCTTCTATTGAGATGCTGGATCTCTGTAGCAGCTCTCCAGCTGCCTCCGTTTTAAAAGTACTAGTAATATCAACTCTGCTTCTTCTTATGGCCAGGACAACGGCTTTTCATGGGCACTTTTAAAATATTGTCTCTTCTAAATTATTTATTTACTTGCATGTGGTGTGTGCACGCACATATGTGCAGGTATGAGAGCCCATGTGCATGCATGCAGAAGCTTGGAGAGGGCAGCAACTGTCTTCCTCTGTTAGTTACTGCCCACCTTATTTTCTAAGTCAAGGTCTCTCATTGAACCTGAACCTCGCCTTTTTGCCTAGGCTGAATGGCTATCAAGTTCCTAGGATCTGCTTGTCTCTGCCTGCCAACACTGGCTTTTATGCGGATGCTGTGGATTGAACTGGGGTCCTCTTGCTTTCAAAACGAGTACTCTCACCCACCAAGTCATCTCTCCAGCCCTTAAATAATTTTCCCCATATCTGAGATTAATAGATCTTCATATGTTCCATCTATAAATTGCTAGAGATCCCTTGCCTCGGGAAAAGTTGAAGACAGCTATTCCATGACAGTCTTCGTTCAGATATGATCCCTTAACCCGTGAACATACTGAATACGTTCAAATGAAATGTTTTTCTCATGACAGGGGTAACATCACTTCCTAAGGCAGAGGTGCGCTGTCCCGCTCTCACTACTCCTGGGCAGGGGACAATGTTCTGCAGACACCACCTGGGAAGCTTTGGTCCAAACACCACTTGTCACTTTGGGTGCAAAACTGGGTTTACACTCAGAGGCACCAATTCGCTCAGATGCAGGACTTCAGGACAATGGACAGCAGTGACTCCAGCGTGCAGAGGTAACTAACCAGGCAGGAGCAGGGAATTCTGAAGCTGTCTTCCTGTCCATGCTTGAGTTAGTCATTGCATGTCTCTGCCTGCTTAAGTTCCGCCCAGCCCTAACAACCGCTGCAAGCCCCCGCTCCTCCACGAACTCCACAGCACTCCCAAACAGAAGGAATGTGCAGCAGTCCCTTCAGCTTTGCCCTCCCCCAAACCACTTTCTATACAGAGGACACAGGCATAAAGGCGCATATGTCTACATACGTCAGCGCTAAAAGCTCGCAAATGGAAAGCCAGCTCAAAGAATTGTGAAGTATAAATTGCAACGTTATTAAGTAGGTGACAGTATCAACCTACAGTATTTTCATAATGACTGGAACTAAGATGTTAGCCCCGAGTGACATTTCTTAAGGAGCTACCACACCATTCCCAAAGCATGGAGTCCCCAGTCTCCTTCATCTTGATATCTTCCACAGCACAGCACTGAGATCTAGAAATGTCAGGACTGCTCTATCACACTTATTTGAATTAAATCTGATTTCCTGGGGTTTGTTTCCTCTCCACAACTTACAGAAAATAATCTGAAGTTACTTAACAAATAGTTTAAAGAGGATTGTGGTCTCCTCTTCCAAACTTCCAATGTCCACCTGTGAGGGACATGAAATAAGTATTTTAATAATCATAATGCTGACATGGCCGATTAACCACAGTGTATCAATAATAACACACAGATACAAATTCAGTGGTGTTTTTGAGGGGCAAATTTAATAAGGAGACTTTTTGGAGATTAGATCAGTGAATTAGCAATTTATTGCATGCTCTATGGGTCATCCTTGTTCTCTGGCTAGTATTATTTCATGGATACTTCAATGAGACGTTATTTGAAGAGCTGCTGTGGTTCTTGGGTGTGGATGACTTCCTTTCTGACCTTTCACATTAACTCCATCTATTGTCAATTCCAGTCAAGTTAAAAAAGCAAACCACAACCCTATCTGCCTTCCTTCTGTATATCTGTTTCTCATTCACTTTTTTTTCCCTGCAGCCATAAAATGCTCAGAACTGCACATGGACACACCAGGATCAATGAACTGTTCCAATCCCTGGGGAAACTTTAGCTATGGATCAGCCTGCACCTTCCACTGTCCAGAGGGACAGTTACTGAATGGCTCTGCAAGGGCAACATGCCAGGAGAATGGCCGCTGGTCGGCTACCTTGCCAACATGCCAAGGTACATTTTTCATATGGTTTAGAACATGACCTTGACATGAAAGACAATCCCTGGTTCTTTGCTGCATATCTCTCACGGTGGCTTTTCTTCCCTTCACTGCCCCCCTCCATTGCTTGATGAGTGTTTCACAATGAGCCACAAAGGCTCCCCTTGCTTTATACGGAGCCCTAGGGATGAGGCTGGTGACCACGTGGATCCCTGCCATTCTTTTTCATTGTTTAGTTGTGTGAAATTAATTTCCCCACTTCTTATAGCTTCTGCTTAACACACCTTGACACTTCAAATACGTTAGCCAAGGGTTTTCACACAGAGTTCTACTTTGTTGTGTCAGAAGACTTTTGTTTACCATCTACCTCTAAAAATACCTCAAGTCCTTTAATTATGCCCCATCTGTTTGCAAGCTTTCAGGCCCCTATTCCTCCCTTACTTTCCCTTAGCAGTTATGACTTATTGTGTTACATATCCAAACCATTGATTGATAAAGAGAAATTACCCCATCATTCATTTCATTTACCCAAATAACCATGCACATGTGCTGATGAATTTGTATCTACTAATGAGTTCCTTTCAGGGGATCTCTTCATCTTGTCCACTTTAGAAATCATGATTTTTTTAATCAAAATTAATCAAATATTTAAGCCTTGGGATGCAGTCAGGTCCTGCTTCCTGTTCCATTGCAGTGGATTTCTGATTTCCAGATCTTTCCTGCCAGGTTATTGGCCTGGGCAGGACCTTTGAAGTTCTTGCTTATGGCCCTGTCTTTGTTCTTGGGATGCCTCGGGGAGGATGAATGGTCTGTGCACACTACACTCACACCTTGCATGTGTGTTTATTTTAGCAGGACCACTGACCATCCAGGAAGCGCTGACTTACTTGGGTGGGGCAGTGGCGTCTACAACAGGTCTGGCAGTGGGTGGGACACTCCTGGCTCTGCTCAGAAAGCGTCTCAGAAAGAAAGGTAAATACGAAGGAGCCTTCCTCTTTTCTGTTCTCTATTTTGGAGTAAAGTGTTAAAGTCAGTAGTTTCCGTTTAAAAACAGTTTGTTAAAGAAAATCAGGCTAATATTTGTGACCTTGAGCCCTGACTGCCTGTCAGAATCACCTGTAGGAATTTGTGAAAATACAGAAATTCTGAATTTATCTTTGTGTGTGTGTGTGTGTGTGTGTGTGTGTGTGTGTGTGTGTGTGTAGTGTGTGTGTGTGTGTGTGTGTGTGTGTGTGTGCACATGTGCATGCCTTCTGCATACTAAACCAGTGCTCTACCATTGAGCTGTGACACCAGCCATTATATTAATTTTTCCAAAGCCTTCCCTTAAAATTCTGATGACGCCTCTGAGGGCCTCTGGAACCACCAAAATTAATTATAAACATGTCATGCCTCTTTCCCTCACACACCCCATGTAATAGGCATTTGTAAATCAGCTTTTCCAGGCAGTGGGGCCAATAGTGACAGTGCCTCAGGTTGAGGAAGATATAGTCCTTTAAGAGGGACAGATAAACAGTATGCATACTGACTGTGGTATGTCTGGAAGAACAAAATATAGTGTAAATGTTACCCGAACATAGAACGATGGTTCTTGGATCAGAACAGTACATTGAATAGGCTTTCTCAACCTTAGCTTGAGTTAAGGGATAGGGCCAAGATGGGAAGGTGAACTAGAGTTCTAGCAAAGAAAACTGCACATGAAAACCACGAGCACATTAGATCACTGGGAGAAGTGGTGTGTTTAGCAGCCGAGAGCGTCTGAACCCACTGGACTCCCAGACCAGTGGGGAGAAGCTGGAGGTTAAGAAACTACTGCTTCAGTAGTGTCCTGAAAACACATACTCAAACATTCTCTCAGGCAAATTTGTGGGTTTTGAGAAGATTTAAGCAGGAAAGTGACCAAATGATGAAGACTCTATCAGGGACACCTCACCAGCCTGTTGTCAGAAAGGGAACTTAGACCCAGAGACAAAAGAAACGTCCAGTTCTTAGACTTGCAAACATCTTTTATCCATCTGCTGCGACTTGTAGCCTGCCCAAGTGTTTATTGGCTTCACAAATACTTCTCTATAAACTAAGGAGGCTCTCACTGTCCTTCCTCATAGCAAGCATGAGGCACAGAGGACTGACTGGTACTCAAATCCAGACAACTGGAAGGAGCTGGGTTAAACTATTCCAGACTTTGCATTCCATTGAGAAGTTCCAATAACCAATCTTAATTGCTCTTGGGACAGAATGTCCTGTGCCCTTCTTTTACGATTCCCCACTCAAAGCCACCATTGAATTGTAGATGTTTCTTCAACACTCCTGCACACAATCTCCTGGGAGGGTAAGACTGATGGTAGCAAAGGTAGTTTCTTGCTGGTGGGAGAAATGTGCCAATAGTTATGAAGGATTCCTTCATGAAAGTGTGTGTTTATTTAACCAAATCAAGAAGGTAGAAGGAAGAACTCTTAAGACCCACCTTTAATCTCCATAATCACGTCAGATTTGCATAATTTTCTCCTGCCCCACCCCTGGTCAGCTGACCCTACAAACTATGACCAAATTGTTTCTTCAGTTTTCAGATAAATTCAGGGTTAGAAAAATGCCAGTAGCCTCTCATTTTTCTAAATCTCTAACAATAAATAAATTTATGAGTTGAAGGAGGATGGCTCATCCTGGGCTCATTCCAATTTGGTGTTCAATGTCAAAATAGTCTATTGTCAAGTAACAGACAGTGCTGTGGCCATGTCTCAAGACTTAACCATCAGTCTGCTGTTTAGAGTAAGACAAGAGGCTCCTTATCACATACATTCCTAGGAGGGAAAATGAAAGCATCCACTAGTGTCGTTGTGGGTTGATTTATAAGGTTACCACACTAGCTGAGGACCAAGGGATTAAAAACCTGGATACAGCAATAGGGAGCCCTCAATACCAGGACTGGAAACCCCAGAGACATGAGGACAGGGTAGCTGGGGTTTTTTCCCTACAAAGTTAAAAAGAAAAAAATGTAAGAGGACCTTGGAATAAAATATTATAAAAATGCTCAGTTTAGCCTAAAACAAGTACTGCCTACCTTTTAGGCCAGATGGTTCCTAATATTCTGCATATAACAAACTTATCTGAAAATCAGTCTCCTAATTTTCTTCAATAATTTCTAGCACCAGTAACTCTTCTCACCTCATTGTTTTCTTTTATTCTTGTTTTCTCACTTATTTCAGATGATGGGAAATGCCCCCTGAACCCTCACAGGTAAGATGGAAATGTTCTGTGCAAGAACAAATTTTATTAGTTTGTCTTTCTAATATGCTGTGTCAGGGGAACATGAACAATGCTCCTTCCTCCCTGTAATATATCTTCTGCCATGTCTTTCCTGTCTTGAGAAAAAGCATTCAGGTAATATATGTCAGCTAACCATAGTGTCTTAAGTCTCAATACTTAGGGAGTTTCAGGCTCTTGAGTCCCCCTTCTGAGTTGTAGAGTCTTTATTTCTGAGGACTTTCTGTGCGTGGACATTTCTTTACATCACATTTCTTTACCTCACTGATTAAAAACAATAGATAGCCTCATTGTAGTATAAAAAAGGAAGTAAAGTGGGAAGTGATTTATCATAGAAACCAAATGCTAAAGCTCGGGTGCTACACTAGTGAATGCTTGGAGGCCACTGAAAGTTTGTTAATTTCAGTAGACTCTCCATGAGCAATGGCTCAGGAAGAGACAGTGGCCTGTCCCCTGAGAAAATACTGTATTAGTTCAATTCACAGGACAATGACTTTCATCTTAAAAGATGAAAAACACACTTAGTATTTTCATATGAGACAATTAAGTTCCAGACAATATTTAATCCTGAACAATGCTATTCCAAAGCCATATAGGATCTAAGATCTACAATTTTTTTGTATCTTGGCTTTTTGGACATGTAGCATCCCTGACCTCTGCCCACAATGCCTGTCCGTCCTCTTCATCACCATGAAAATCCAAAAACCATCCCTAGGGGGCAGTACTAACATTCTGTGGAAACCCTTGCTCAAGTATCAGTTATCCAGATTGAGAACTTTGTAACTATTTTTTATCAAGAAGAGGCTGCAACCCCTTATAGGGTAAGTCAAGTTTCCTGCACAGAAACCAATAGCAGCAATAGTGTAGGTAGGTCTGGGGATGCGGCTTGGTGGTAGAGCACTTGTTTAGCCTGCATGAGGCCTTGGGTTCCATTCCCAAGTACCATGAAAAAGTGTGAGTGGAAAGTGCCAGTCAAATTACCCAGACCTCTGAGTGGGACCTTGAAAGTTGCTTTTTCCATTTACTTTTCTTATTAAAATAGAATTCCAGGGCAGGTGGCAATCTGTTGTTTCTAGAGATAGTGTAAGCTGGCTGTTTGGAGGAGTAATGTCATGGTAGATCATCCTTGTGTTTCTCTTCTTCAGCCACCTAGGAACATATGGAGTCTTCACTAATGCTGCGTTTGACCCAACCCCTTGAGGTGAGTTCCCTATGAAGATATTTTTGAAGAAAATAAGACAGTAAGGGAAAGAGAAATGATGTAAAGCTTTAATTTTCTTTATATCATCATGTACTAACTGTTAAGCATGTGTTAAAATATCAAGCCATGACAGAAACCATATTGGCAACAAGTGTATGTGAGAGTGGACGGCCAATAGAGTTTACCCAAGGATTTCCATTCCTTCCGAGATGAAAGGTTGTAGCAGCATATAACTTTTTCCAGGATGTGTGAGATCCCATTATTGGCAGTCAAGTGGTATCAACAGTGTGGGCTTGCCTCAAAATCCCTTGTGCTACCTAATGGGAAAACTGAAATTGTCTGAAACCATTTTTTTCAAATACTGCAATGAAAAGTCCCCTTTCCTAAGAAAAGCAACGTGCTGGTAGACAGGGTAGAACCTAGAAAGAGACAACTGTCTTGAACATCAGGGGATAGACATGATGAAAGACTACTTTCTCCTTTAAGCATAGTTTAATTTGTTTTCTTTCATTTTCAGAGATCTGGTCTCCTGTCTCCTCCTTGAGTCTCTCAGGATTCTGCGTGCAGATGTCAAGTTTCCAGACTTTAGCTCCATTTCATTTGCTGTGGTTTTCTTTAAATAATTGGACAGGAATGGAGCAAAAGGACTGTGTACATTCCCACCTCTTCACCCACCCCTTCCTGCTCTGCCTCTCACCTTCCTCTAGCACAGCCACAGAAATAGGAGCAAATGTTTCTGCTGTGGTCTGTGGCTTTGACCTTACTTTTACTGAAAACGGGAAGTTAGTCCAAAGCATTGGGGCATCTGACTCACCAGGAGACCAGACTCTGAAGAGCTGAAAATCTACTTTCTCTTCGATTTGAAGAGTGGCACTCCAAGATGCTGGAGGACAGGAAAACCTCCAGCTTAAGGGAGAGCCTGCCGTAAAGATCTCCTGGGCCTTCAGTGTTTCCTATCTATGAGGTTGTTTATACCTCTGCTGCTGACACTTTTGCAGAAACTTCCAGATGGTACCAGAGGTCATGGAAGACCAAGAACAGAGCCAGGATTCCACATCCTATTGCAGACCTTCCCTCTGCCGAAGCACCCAAAGGACATTGTTTGAATATGTAATTGGACTCCCCAAATGCTATGCTCTTCATGTTTTGTTCAGTAAGGTCTATGTATCTCATATTGTCTGCCAACAATGTGGTCACAGTTACAGTCATCCAAATGACAGCTAGACCTTCCAATGAGCCAGCAAATATATGTCCTATGTCCCCTGTCCACAGAGAAAAAGCCAGAGGAACAGAAAAGGTCTTCATTGCATTACTGTTCTGCAGGAAAGAACAGACATGTTTTATATGTAATTTAATTCACATATTTAATAAATAAGTCACTGAAAAATGATATATGACTTGTCTCTAATTGATGCAAACATTAGGGAGTTAAACAATGCAGTTAGTTGCCTTGCTGTGGTGTAATGAAATCCAATGATCACCATGTAGACTGGATACACATAAGCAGATAGGCAAGCAAAACACAGTAAAGCCATCCTTTGAAAAGTTACAGGGATTCTGAAAAAAAAATGAAAGTAATTTAGGGACTTGCTGCTTTAAATCTATTTTCTCAGATACATTGTCAATAACATCTAATGTGTGTGTATGTGTGTGTGTGTGAGAGAGAGAGAGAGAGACAGACAGACAGACAGACACTAGGCTAGGTATTATAGGACCTGAGATCTCAACGCTTCAACCCTGTCTCCCATGTCAGAATTTGCATTTTGTTAAAATACCCAGAGGATTCTGACAACGTTGGGAACCCCTGGAATTGTGGGTCAAGAGTGCAAGGTAGTGTTCCTGCTTTTGAATAGAGTATAATCTAGCAGTGGATACAAGGAAACCTTGAAAAACTCGATAATCAAAAGGAGTATATAATCTGAATAGATTAAGTTCATAAAAGAGAGACATCAATATGAACCCAGAATCAGAGATAAAGGCAGAGCTCCTGACTTTAAAGAATGGGAGAGCAGAGAGGGAAGAAAATGGATGTGGGCATTCTTTCTAATATAGTTGGCTATGCATGTGTCTGTTGATTAATTAATTTTGGTACAGGGTCTCGATGTGTAGCTTAGGCTGATCTCAATCCTCAAACTCACATTCTCCTGCTTCAGCCCCCTTTGTGCTGGGATTACGGGCATGTGCCATCATGCCTTACTTGAGAAGGGGCATTCTAAATTAACTGAATAATATGAGCAAGGGAACAAAAGGAAGAGTGGGGGTGGAGAGGATGTCGAGGAGCCAGGGTGGTGCCAGATTACAATTCACTCAATGTGCTGAAAGCATAGCGCAGACAGAAACAGAGTTCTGGGGAACTCGGAAAAGTCATTTTTCTGATTCAGATATTATAATTCTCAGTTTCTCCACCAACAGATAAATAAAATCTAAAACAATATGCATAGGACCCTTCAAAACATGGCACCACAGAAAAGGACAGCGTAAGAGCATAGGCTGCAGCCGCCTTGGCACTAGGGGACCATACAGTTTACAACATTTTTCCCCCTCACAATAATCGGATTAAGGAAAATTAGAATTGCAGACGTCAAAAGTACTCCGAAAATAAAAGGTAACTGGCCCAAGACCACACAGCTACCGAAGGTCTCAAATGAGTACTCCAAGCCCTGTTCTCTGCTACACTTGAGCTGGTGACAAGCCCTTCCCAGGTGGTCTGTGCCTTGGTAGAAGTTACCGAAGCAAGAACGCTAACCTGTTGGTGGACTCGTCCTCTGGCCGATTTCTGTGCCTAGTAACCACACAGGGTCATTTCCCTGAGATCAGAAGACAGGTGTTAGCGAGGCTTGTGGAAACCGGCTGGTTTAAGCCTAAACTTTGACCCTCCCTCCCCGCCCCGCCCCCTGCAGGTTAAGGGTGGATGGGTGAGATTGCTGCTGCTTTGGGATGGGGCACAGACTCTTGGGCACAGTTCCTGGGCCACAACCTCCAGCGGGGCTGCCCTTTCTTTGTCGTACATAGTCCCTAGTCTGGTTCCCTAATAAATGCCTCTGGCCACAGGGGGGAGTGACCTCGACAAGCCCATGCCTACAGGAGGCACAGCCAGGGAAGGGAGGTAGAGTGAGCCCGCTGCCGCTGCCGCCGCCGCCACAGAGGACAGGGACACTGCTTCCCGCTGCCTCCTAGTCCCCCAGGGAGCCACGACAGCGACAGCGCGCAGCGGGGACAGAGAACTGACACTGTGGGCAGTGGCAGTGCGCGGCAGGACAAGGGCCATGCTCCTAGTCTGCCCGCGCCTCTGCTTCCTGGTGGTCCTGAGCACCAGCTGGGCGGGCTGGGGCAGCCACCGGGCCGAGGCAGCGCGGCTAAGGCAGTTTTACGTGGCTGCTCAGGGCATCCTCTGGAACTACCATCCTGAGCCCAAAGACCCAAGGTAACTCGGAGTGGAGTCCAGGTGGGCTTCTCCAGGGGAGAAAATCCACTGTAACTGCAAGTTTGTTTGTTTGTTTGTTCCAGGGCTGGGGGGGTGGGGGTGGGGGGGGACAGAGACAGAGACACAGAGACAGAGACACAGACAGAGACAGAGACACAGAGAGACAGAGACACACACAGAGACACACACAGACACAGAGACACACAGAGAAAGACAGAGAGATGGAGACAGAAAGACAGATGAGAGAGACAGAACACAGTTAAAGTCACAGTTAAAATATAACAATGGTGGGTGCTAATTTTTCCTCCACTGATATATATATATATATATATATGTGTGTGTGTGTGTGTGTGTGTGTGTGTGTGTGTGTGTGTATACACACACACACATATACATATATATCATACTGAGGATGTGGAAAATTTTCACACAGCCATAGCTAACCTTTCACACACACACACACACACACACACACACACACACACACACACACACACACACCATACTATTGGCTCCCACTTTGTTAGTTTAGTCTACTGATGAGTTGAAATAACCAGTCTCCCGCTCCCTCTTACACCTTCCTGAAAGTCTGGTGCCAGCCTTGTAAGTCTGCTTCAAAAAAAAAAAAAAGGAACTTCTAGTTCTATAACATTCATTCCTTGCAGACACAGGCTCATCTAAAGAGAAAGATGCCCACCGTGTGCTTCATTGTAAGGAGATTTTAGTGACACTCACCTTAATTTTGCTGCCTTCCTATAAATGACTTTCAAAACGTTGGTTCATGGAAAGAGGACACACTTGTATTTTCACCTTTTCTTGGCTTATTCCTGGCCACCTAATGTGGCTTCATTTTTTTTTTTTCTTTCTTTCACTTTGAATTGCTTCCTGGAATATGGCTTATCCTGGATATTTTGTCTGCCCTGAATATTACCCATGTTAGTGACCAGGTGAGGTGGCCATTCCAAAGCACATGTAAGTAAGAGGAGGTTTAAGTAATATCAAACCTACCTTTGAGTTGTAAAACACGTTTTGCTAGTTGGAAGGATAAATGAAAGCCTTCCTGAAGCTAACCAAACCATAGATTCTGCTCAGCATTTACAGCTACTGTTTTTTTATTTTAAATGGCAAGCCTAGCCTTCTGGTTGACTCATTTTTTTCCTTTTAGTTGACATCAAAGTTTGAGCGATTGTGAAAGATGTGTTCCTCTTTTACAATTGCAAAACCAAAGCAATCAGCCAAAAAATAATGTAATGTTTTGAAAGCAATGTGTAACATTTTAGTATGAATACATAATAAGCATTTAATTGTTGTTGTTGTTATAACTGGGGTATTTGGGAAGGCATTACAGTCTATCTTGGTATTATGCTAATAAGAAATATCACATTAAAATGATTTCAAGTAATGCATTTAGAGTGATAATCTAAACCACACCCACACTCTTAGGAAACTGCCATTTACTGAACCCTCAAAGAAAATAACATTCTTTCCAGCACCAGTTTTCCTGCTTTGTGGTAGAACACAGATGTGGCTGGTGTGTTCAGCCTGGGGTAGGGCACAGGTAAGTCAGAGAACACAAGGTTAGGGATGAACAAATTCAGATCAAATGTGCAACACGAGGACTCTAAGTAACAACAGTGTATTATATGAGCAGGTCTTCCCCTCTAAAGGGAAATGGAAAATGGATAAGCTGTTTGTCTTAGTTAGAGTTCCCATTGCTTTGATGAAACACCTTGACCAAAGGCAAGTTGGGGAGGAAAGGGTTTATTTGACTTACACTTCAGCATTGCTATTCTTCACTGAAGGAAGTCAGGACAAGAACTCAAACAGGGCAGGATCCTGGAGGCAGGAGTTGATGCAGAGGCCATGGAGGCATGCTGTTTATTAGCTTGCTTCCCCATGGATTGCTCAGCCTGCTTTCTTATAGAACCCAGGACCACCAGCCTAGGGATGGCACCACCCAAAATGGGGCTGGCCCCTCCCCCATTGGTTACTAATTATAAAACGCCATACAGCTGGATCTCATGGAGGCATTTCCTCAACTGAGGCTCCTTCCTCTCTGATGACTCTAGCTTGTGCCAAGTTGATACACACAACACCAGCCAGCACACTGTTGGTAGGGAAAATTACTAGAGGAAGCTCTTCCTGCGGGGTCTTCATCACTCCTGTGAAATATGGTACTGTAGTTACCAAGATGCAGAACCTCGTTTACCCTAGAAATAGAGAATGGAACAGGAGCCACCTGGGTCTGGATAAAGCTGAGGAAATGGTTTAACCCTCCTGGATCTTGGCGGTGCTGTTTATCATCTGCATCTTCCTAGGAAGTGACTTAATCTTTTCAGTGCAGATTTTTGGTTTCTATTCCGTATAGATCCCAGAGTTTTGCTCTACTGCTGTCTCGTTCTCTCAACTAGAAACAGGTTCCAATAAACAGACACCAATTTACCACATTGGTTCAAAATTGTAAAATGAAAGTGGAAAAAATTTAAAATCATATCTGATTAATAGATTGAAACATAGTTCAAATGTATAGTTATCAGTGACTTGTATTTTTTGACTTAGACCTGAAGAGTGAGTTTGCACATGAGCTTGTCTTCCTTTATATATAAAAAAAATTGATTCTGAAAAGCAGAATCAGAGCGAAATTAGACTTACATTTATGGAAGACTATCGTTGAAAAGACCAATGATTATTCCATTGATCTCACTTGATATTCCAATCTATAAAATCTTGGACATTGGAAATACAATAAAATACTGTCATTCTATGTTTATAAACAAAATCCGAGAGTGTAGACACCTCCTCTTTTGGAATGGGAATAGATATCACATATGACTTTCAAATTGGTTTTTGTATTTTATTTCTAGTTTGAATTCTATACCATCCTTCAAGAAAATTGTCTACAGAGAGTATGAGCCATATTTTAAGAAAGAAAAACCACGGTCTAGCATCTCAGGTAAGTTTGAAATATATTTTTTAAAATTATATTTTGTGTTGGGGTTTGAACCTACAGTCTAATGCATGCTAGGGAAAACCTCTAACACTGATCTAAATCCCAGTCTACATTTAAATTTTTATTCGGAGACAAAGTCTCACTAAGTTGGCTACTCAAGCTTTGAACTTGGTCTATAGCCCAGGAAAACTGTGAATTGTGATTTTTCTGTCTCAGCTTCCCAAGTAGCTGAGGTTATAGGTCTGTGCCACCAGACCCAGTTTGTATTTCTTTTAATTTTAAATATAATTTCCATGGATAGTATTATATTCTTTATACTTGAAATACCCACACTGTGAACTGGCCAGATATTTCAGTGGTCAAAGGTACTTGCTGCCAAGCCTGAAGATCCAGGACTCACATGGTAGAACAACTCTCTCAAATTGTCCTTTTAATCTCTACACATGCACCATGGTGTGTGTGTGTGTGTGTGTGTGTGTGTGTGTGTGTGTGTGTGTGTGTAAATAAATGTAAAAGTAAATAAATGTAAAAGTAAATAAATGTAAAAATATTTAAATATCCACTTAGTTATCTTCTGTTTAAACGTATGATGTTTCTATCAGACACTAGCTATATACTATGTGTGCATGCCCAGATGCAGTGAGAATATGGAGTTCCTTGTTCATACTCTTGAGAAATTTCAGAGACAGTAAAATTTAAAGCAAATAGGGGTTCTTCCTTGAACAGGTCACATGCTCACACAGTCAGCCATGTTTTTAACCTTAGTCAAGAAAGCCACACAAAACGCTTCACTGTTTGAATTTGTATTTGTTCATCTAACAACCCACAGCTGAGCACCTTCTGTGGGCTTGACATTGAATTAGGCACTGTGAATACAAGAGTTAGACAAAGTGAACTCAGATTGTCCTGGGGCTTGTCATCTGTTTGCATAGGCACAGATGCACTCCAACAGAATGAATTTGTCATTGTCTATCCAGCTTCCTACATTCATTAAAAGGAGCTAGGAATGTTTGATCCTTTGCATTTAGCTTTTCTAAAAGCTATGGCATTTGAAAAAAAAACTTCTCTTCTATTTTTCTTTGGTGCTTCATTAATCAAGGACTAATTTATCAAGGGCTCTGGAATCTTAACTATAGAAATGTATTTTACAGGAATTACAGAGGAGAACATCTTCCAGTCGGGCCCCTTGCCATCAATTCCCCCATCCTTCCCCCATCCTGGTGATGGTCAGCCATCTTTCCCAGGCTCACCTTCGGCCTCTTCTGCCCATCCATCCCCATCCCCACCCCCTACTCTGCCCTGCCTCAACTGGTTCCCTATATTCTTCAATTCTTCCTCGACTTGAGTCTTTCCTTCAGTAAAAAATCAACAACAAAGTCATTTTCTGGTAAATCTTATCTAGAAAAAGGAAAGCATCTCTCCTTAACCCTCCTGCCCTTTTCCTTTCTCTCCATCCTTCCTCCCAGTTCCCTGTGTGAGAAGTCAATGTCATTCTCTACATTCTCTCTTCTCCATCCCCTCCCTAGGCTGCTCCAGTGTGACTAACTCCGTCACTGTCAATCCGACCTTTGAGATGGCAGCACCGTCAGTTCTTTCCAGTTCTTTCACCACTTCTAGGCTGCCTGACGAGCTCCCTTTTGGAGCTCTTTACCTTGTTTCCTGCGTGACACTTCCCCTGGCTTTCCTCTAAGTTCCTTTACCATGCCTTTTCAGTTTCCCACTTTCTCTTCTTCTCTGAGGCTCCAAACCATGGCTTTTACAGGTGCCTACCCAGAAGCCACATGCTTTCTGACACTGCACGGATTTCTACCCTATCCTGGCATTAGGACTCTCTCTTCTGTGTACTCCCAGCAACGTGATCTGATGCTTTCCTTTTAGGGATGCTGTGAGGCTCAGAGTGGTTAATGAACACAAAGTACTTGTATTAATGCTCACATATGATAAGACCTTAATACAAGTTAGCTACATTGTTTGTCGCTGCTGTTGTAGCTATGAATTATGCCTCCATTAGAGCATGCATATCATAGTATGGTGACTATATCAACACAACTACGTTTTTGCTCATTTTATTTCCTCGTGTATTATAATGTATATATTTATTTGCCTTTAGATAAATACATTTAAGTATTCTTTCCTTTTGATTATCACAACCTAAGAATAGCACATTTGAGGGTCTGGGGATATAAAGGTGGATTCTGAGTTTCCAACAGTCAGCTATTAGAGATGACTGATAGTAGAATATTCTAGCACAGTGACAAAGAAGAAGAATACTGAAGGATTTCCAGTCTAATGTTGACAAGAGAGAGAAAGAAAGGGGAATTGGAAAGCCAAACAGTGGGTGTGAATGGGAGTATAAAGATGCATTTTAGAAAAAAAAAAAAACAAAACAGAGCACAAGAGGGTTTAGCTCAGCTTAGCTCTCAACCTGTGAGTTGTGACCCTTTGGGGGTTGAATGACCCTTTCTCAGAGTTGCCTAAGACCATTGGAAAATGCAGATTTTTACATTACAATTTATAACAGTAGCAAAATTACAGTTATGAAGTTGCAACGAAAATAATTTTATGGTTGGGGGTCACCACAACACAAGGAACTGTATTAAAGGGTGCAGCATCAGGAAGGTTGAGAACCACTGCTCTAGACAGACTCAGCCAGATCAGGGAGCCGTCTAAAAGCTTTGTCTGGAGGAAAGTAGAGGACCACTAAGATAATTTAAATGGGAGAAAGATAGACCCAGATTTGCACTTTAATACTGTCTCAATATTGGTCTGTGATTGATTGTGAACAAAGTATAGTATCACACGTGTATAAAAATGCCATAATAAACACCATCACTCCCTATGCTAACTAAAAATTAATAAGAATAAGAAGATCGTTCTGTTCACATCTGGAAGATGGATTAGAGAATAGCCAGAAAAAGCAGTAATTTGGCTTTAGTGCCAATCCAGGAAAAAGACAGCGGGGAAGCTGAGGTGGAGAAAATTAAATGGATTCCAAAGATACTTAGGAGCTAAAATCAGCTAAACAGGTGGCTAATTGGATGGAAACAGGAGAAGGGGATTATAATTGACTTCAAGTTTTCTGGGTTGAATAGTAGAATGGATAATGTGCCACTCAGTGAGAGAGAAAATTTAAGGAAAAAAAAAAAAAAGGAACTTTGTTTGTAAGGATAATGAGGTCAGACTCGGAGTCTGAGGTATCTGTAGAATATCTACCCAGTGTTATCAAAGGAGCAAGTGGGTTTGAGTCTTGCGTTTAGGAGGGAGGACTGAGGCAGATAGATACAAATATGCAGGAGACATCACAACCAGGTTATAAATGAAGCGTGGAGGGAGCATCCAAGGAAAATGTAATGAGAAAAGGAGGCTGCCACAGAGCTCAAAGGGGCAACAGAGGCCAGCGGATAAGCCGAGAAAGCCATGTCCACTGAAGAGCTTGAGAAAGTCTTCCGAGAGAGGGCAGAAGGGGTTGATTCCCCGGAGCCAGAGTCAAATGGCACCAAAAGCAATGACTACGAATAGAGGGAGCAGTAAAGCTGAGCTTCTGCTGTAGTGGGGGTAGGGGTGAGAACTCACGGTGGGGACTTGGGGAGTGGGTGGCCGGTGAGGAAATGGAAACACAAGGCAAGCAGGATTTTCCTTGAAATGCGCCTCTGACTTGGAAGGAGGCAGGAGCATTCTGGAGATGAATGGGAGGCTCAAGGATATTGTGGAGCACCACAGGAATCTAATATTTATTAATTCAGTAGAAATACCTGGGGAATAATTGATGAGTCTAAACACAGAAGAAGCAGGAAGTGCTGGTATTAAAAGCTATTACTAGCTCAGCCTTAGATAAAAAGGCTGCTGCCTCACTGTGAGTCCTGGGGTGGGGCATTAAGGTCACCTATAAAATGGCTTTTGTGGTTGTGGGCAGGATCACCTTCCTCTGTTGCAGAATCCATTTTCATATTCCAGTGCAGAGCTTACCGTGTTCAATAGATTCATAGAACTATTTAACTTGTGAGTAAATGGGGACGTATTCACTAGGCCAAGAAGAGAAAGCAAGTGTTCAAAGCTGAATACTCTGGGGCTTTTGCCAGCTCCACCAAATATTGATGTCATTGCTAGGCAATGCATTGTACTGAATGCATAGTTAACAGAAAGGGCCATGACCAGACTGGAGACTCTTGAACTGATAGGAGGCACCAACACTGTTTCAAGAAGGAGACCATTGTGACAGACATCCTCCCAGATGAAGGCCTTTTGTAGTGGGCTCCTGATAGAGCCTTGTTGGTCAGAAGTAGACCTTAAGAAGGGGTGGGAACAGCCAGGATCATATATAAACCCTTTCACATTAAACATTAGCTTTCCGTCAGCATCTGTGTATCACAGAACATATTTAATGTGGGGGGAACTGAGGGACTGTAGCATCTGGTTTTTGCAGCACCTTCTTAAACTTCCAATTCTGCTTAACTCTGACCCTCTGAATGGTAGGAATGTCATTGCGTTCATCATTAGATCCCAAGGATACAGAACTGATGAGAAAGAAAAGCCTCTGATCCGGCTGAGATCTGGATTTGAATGCTAGTTAGCACTGCCCGGATCTAGCCCTGTGTTATTTGTACCTTTGCTGTGTTTCCTTTTCCAAATACTTGGTGGGTGTGGTTCCAGCTGAGCCATGAACAAGTCATAGTTCTTTACCTCTGTGGCAGCGGGAGTCCAAAATAGTTTACTGAATTGAAAGCAGAGGCTAGTCATTTGGGTTATGGCCTGAAGGTGACTTTCTGGTGAGGTTTGTGGACACCTAGACAGTTGGAGAGGCCAGATGTGGTTTCAAGAATCCAACTTGTACTTCAAAGTTTTGAGTCTCCACATTTTTCTATGAAATCCTTGTCCCCAGGTGAGCTTCAATTGCTACCTACAGGCTGTCTTTGTATGTTGTTATTCTTTGTTCATCATTCTTTTGTGGATCTGATGAGCTCATCTACTGCAATCTTTCCAATTCTTCAACTGCACGAGATTGGCTACATGCTATGCAGTCTTCTCTAAGCCCCAAGGTGCATTACTCCTTCCCTCAACCTTCCTTCTCTCCCATCAAAGCATCAGTGGGAAAGGGCTTGGACTATGTGGCTGAGAGAGGAGGAAATCCTCAGCCTTGAGTCTGCTACATGCACTAAAGTATTTGAGCCGCAGTTATGAAAACATCCTTTAGCTGTCCCTTAATTATAAAGAAGCAGGAAGGGAGGTTGAATAAACACCCCATACTGTCAAAATGCCCATTGAAGTATGAGGTCTTACTGGGTCCAGTAACCTAGGAAAGATTTTCTTGGCAGCTAGTATTTGTAGCCATTTGACACCAACAAACAAGTAACCGTGCAAGAGAAACATGACAGCAAAATACCGTGCCCACTGTGACGGTACTGTCAGTAAGTACTGGGCTGTTTGCAGCCTGGGCAGGTGGTGCTTCCATAGTAAGTCAGGATGAAAGGGAACATTCAGAAGACAGGGTCAGCCAATGAGGCAGACGAAGTCAGGAACCAGAAAGAGGAATCCATCTGGACTAGTCTAGGAAGGCTAGAGTCTTAACTGTTCCAAAGAAAGAATTAGGGAAAGAGTTTTCTTGGGAGCTCTAAGACCTAGATTCTAGTCTCAGCAATGCCAGGGAGCCAGTGACCGATCTTGGGCAAGCCAACTCTCTTCCTCCACACACACACTCCCCAGGTTTTGTTAACCATCTCCAAAATGAGACATGAAGAATGCGTTCTCTATGATCCTGTCCAGAGCAAACGGAAATACAACTAAAACAGCTCCTGGCATAAAAACAACAGAAGTTCCAAGACGGGGGCTTCAACAAAAGGAACAGGACAAGAGCGGCCAGAAAGACAGGAGCAGAGGAGGGGACCTAGATAACAGTGGCCACAAAGATAGGGGCAAAGGAGGCAGGAACTAGATAACAGTGGCCACAGAGATAGGGGCAAAGGGGGCGGGGATAGGACAAGAGTGAGTAGATAGATGGGAACAGAGCGCGGAAGGCGGAACCTCTGTTGAGCTGTGACAAATTATCACACATTCAGTGCCTTGGAAAAGCATGACTCAGCCAGATGTCCTGGCACACATCTATAATTCCAGCATCAGGAGAGGAGGCCAGGACAATAAGATCATGAGTATGACAAGGCCAGCTTAGGCTACATGGCAAGACCCTGCCTCAAAATATGGATCAATTTTTTCTTCTTCTGTTACAGTTACAGTTCTGGATGTGTGGGGGATTAAAGTCAGGCTCCCTAGGTTTAAAAAGAGGAGTTGGTAGAGCTCTGTCTCTTCTGAAGATTCTAGAAAAGTCACTTTCTTGCTTTTTTCCATTAACTAGAGCTGCCTGGGTTTATTGACGTTTTCCCCTTCCTTCATCTTCATAGTTAGTGGAGTGGTATCTTCTAATTTCCCTCTCAAGCTTCTCTTGTAACCCTTTAGTGAGTACTCTGTGACTCCATAAGACCTAGCTGGTAGCCCAGGAAAATCTCTGACTACCACAATTAACCATTAATTTAATCATATGTACACAGTCCCTTTTACCACACAAGGCAGCACACTTCCAAATCCTAGGCATTACAACATGGCAGAGAAGGGATGTTGTCCTGCCCACCACACACACCAACTAGAACTATTGCATGGTATCCTCCATGCCACAGGATGTCACCTTTGTCTACCCAGGTCCTGAGCAGAAAGTTACTGGCACCATATTACCTTGTTTGTCCCCACCCCTGCCCCAGAGCCAATACACTCTAAAACTTGAAAGTTTCATCTCTAGCATACATAATCTGATATTTTCTTTGCTGAAGACCTCCATTATGGCCTTAATCTTACCAATGTCTCTTTCAGAGCCTTCTCTTAGCCTGTACTCCAATTTCTCCCTAGATCATTCTCAAGAAACAGAGCATTTAAAAGCAAAATCTAGGCCAAAGAGGGAGGGGGGAGAGAGAGGGGGGAGGGAGAGAGAAAGAGAGAGAAAGAATGGAAAGCAGTAACAAAAAATTAAAGGACCAAAAAAACATATTGGAAGTCTGGGTCATATTGTATCTTGCTGAAAAACCTCAATAACCGCTACCTGTTATCAGATGAAAACCAAAATTCCAAATGTCCTATCAGGCTCTGAGTGACTGATGCCTTCAGTGTTACTTTCAACACCTTGCTCTCTTACCTTCTAAGAGAAGGTACTCTCTTACCTGCTTCAGTGGCCATCAAGAGCTCCCTGAGTAGGCGGAGTTTTCTGGCATCTCAGAGCTTTTACACACGCTGGTCCCACTTGCCTATTTCTTCATTTCCCTGCCTTCACACCTCAAAGATTTCCTTCCATCCTGAGGAAAATGCTTGCCAAGTCTGACCCTCTCCCTACTCACAAGCCGGGAACAGACTTTTCTCCATACAGCACTCACTACCACAGTCTGTGCATTTCCCATTAGCTAAAGCTGCCTGTGTTTCTTGATACATTTCTCCCTTCCTCCATCTTCACAGCCAGGAGAATGGCATCTTCTTTGATGCTTTTACAGTTTATAATGAAACATTTGTGTGCTTATTTGTTAGAATGTTTCTCTCAATATTTCGCAAGCTCTAAGAAGTCAGAAAGTGTTTACTTCTCATCCATGTGTCACCACAGGCTGATGGCTAAGACAGTCTGAGCATTCAGTACCTGATGTATGAAAGAACACAAGGTGGGAAGTGCTGGATAAAGAGGTGGCTTAAAATTCAGTCCCTTGAGTCAGACAGATTTAAGTTTAAGTCATAGCTTTGCCTTTGTTGGTTTTATGGAATAGTATTTAATACTCTGAGGTTCACTTTCCTAGTATGTAATATGAAGAGCTAATAGCTATCCTAAAATTTTATTATGAAGGTTAATATAAGGACTTATAGTGCTTAGATAATGAAGGAACAATAAGTGAAAGTCCCGTCCTAATGATCACACTGCAGATGCAATCAGCTGTAAATGGATGCTGGTTGAACTTCATGACCATGCTATAGCTTCATTCTTCTGCTTCTCTGACTCCCAGTGGGCAGAAATAGATGCTGTGAGATTATATCTGGCTTGGATGTGAGGGCAGCTGTTGCTGTCACTAGACTGAACTGTAGTTAGAGTTGATGGATGCTAGAATCATTTTGAGCACACATTAAAACGCAGTCCCAAACTCTGCCTCCAAAAGTGAGGGCCAAGGTGGTAATTGGGAATCTGCCTTTTGGTAAGACACCAAGATAGACTGAAATGGAGTCTTCCAAGACTACACTTTGGGAAATTCTGGCATATGAGTCTCCAGAACTCTGACTCATATATAAGCTCCCTGCTAAGGAACCAGATGGAGCTGGCCTGCAGCCTCTTGGCTCCTATAATATCCTGTCCATCTAGAGTATGTCAACATTCAAACTACTTTGTGGTCCCCTGGTGGTGAGTCATGGACTGCGTTTTACTCATCTGTGTGGTTCAAGACTCTGCACTGTGCCTGGCAATAGCAAGTAGGGCCTTGGTCTTGATGTCTTGTGTCTTGATGTCGTGATGGCCTTGGTCTTAATGTCTGTGTCCCTGGGCTATTTCTTGCTTCTTCCCTGTCATGGTCACTCACAGTATTACTTAGCCAGTGGCTCAGATCAAGAAGCCTTGGGATCTTTCCTGACTCCTCATACAAGGTCCATCTCATCTGTTAGAAAAGCTTGTTAGCTTAACTCCCAGATGCATCCAGAAAATCACCACTGCACTGCTACACACACTAGCTCAATATACCACTATCTATTCCTTACACTACAGCTCTCTTTTTCATACATAGCAGCTGCCATGTTCTTTTTTTATAATGAGTATGAATTTATAAAACATATCAAACCATGTCTATATTATACAGTGTTCAAATGGCTTGCTATTCCATGTAGAAGAAATCCATGATGGCCCATGGATCCTCCCAACCCCTACACCTGCTCACTTCTCATTTTCTCCTTGATATTGTAAAATTGTTGGTGTCAGGACTGATGTGAGGTCATTTTTGATTAAGGTCTCAGGAATTTGGGGATTGTTGAACTTGTGTGAGTACCAAAGAATGGTGTGATTTACTCATTGGTTGCCCTCAGATCCATGGGAGAGTGTAAGAAAAGACAGCACATGAGAATGGATAGGATCTGGGGCAAACTGTCTCTCAAGTCTTTGGAGTTGCTTTGGGTTAAGGCCAAAGATTTGTAGTTCATTGTCATTTAATGAGCCAAGGTGGAGTAGATGGGGAAACAAAGACACAAAGGTCAGGAGATGGTTTACGTCAAGTTCAAGAGAAGCAAGCCAACTTCAGGAACAGAAGGATGACGGCAATCACCTTGGGACCTTTCTGCGTGTCCCTCCTGCTTAGCAGCTGTGTCTTTGATGATCCTGAATGTAAACAATTTCACACTTCTCCTCCCATAGGACTTCTTGGACCTACTTTATATGCTGAAGTTGGAGACATCATGAAAGTTCACTTCAAAAATAAAGCAGACAAACCCGTAAGCCTCCATCCTCAAGGAATTAAATACAGCAAATTTTCAGAAGGTAAGATGAATTTATTATTCCTCTGACAAGAGAAAGGGTAGATCTCTTTAATATTATTGCTAAATATTTTTAAAAACTGATACTGTTAACCATGCACTCTTAGAGAAATTTCCTTTCCTGAAAATTGTAATTATAAAAATTGATCCTGCTCTCAATTTCAGAGATGAAAACTAGTGGTTTAGAGTCTCCTAAATACCAGGACTTTGTTAAGTCCCCACTCCTAGTACAAAATCATCTGATCTCTCTGAATTCCATCTGTTCACCTTAAAATGGGAATGACAATACATTCTAGGATGGTTTGGGGCAGAGATAAATCCATGTTTCTACAGTAAGTGTAAGCAAGAATTATCATCACACAGACAAGTGAAGGGCAAATGCATTCTACTTGAACTCCATGACTACTATGCTTCCTTCCCCTGCTCCCATGAGTTCTAATGGGCACAAACAAGCCCCATAGTAATTAAGGGTGAGCAGACATTTTTTGTAAAAAGCCAGCTACTAAATACTTTCACCTTTGCAGACAATAAGATGTATGCTGCCTTGGAAAGAATACATTGTAATTGAGGAATTGCCTCTATGAGATTTGCTTGTGGGCTTGTCTGTGGAACATTTTCTTAACTGTTCATTGATATGTGAGGCTCCAGCCCACTGTGGATGGTGCTACCCCTGGGCAGTGAGCCTGGGCTGTATTAAAAAAAAAGATGGCTGAGCAAGCCAGGGCTGCAAACCCGTGAGTAGAGCTCTTCAGTGATCTCTGCTTCAGTTACTGCCTTGAGTTCCTGCCTTGGCTCCCTCCATAATGGACTGTAATCTGTAACCCAGGTAAACCCTTTCCTTCCCAAGTTGCTTTTGGTCAGTGTTTTATCACAGCAACAGAGAAAAAATTGGAACAATTGGCAAGTTCCTAGATGAGACATTGTGCACAGGAGTCTCTTCTGAGTCACCTAAATTCATACAGTGGTTAGTCTACTTATGAGGTTTCTAAACCAGTGGTTAGCAATACAAATACAATACAAGCAGGGGAAAGAAACAGCAGCATGGTCAAACTGTCCCTTTCAAGTGCCACTTACAGCGTGGGAGAAGGTAAGAGTTGTGGACTCTGCCCCTCAGCTCAGTTGTTTGAAGAGGGAATGGACCTTGCCACATCACCCATCTTCCTTGAATGTTTATTTGACCCTCTATTACTCAGTCAGCAAGTGTTTGTGAAACAAAATTACTGAACATGCCCCCAGCACATCTGTTTGTAGCTTCTTAGCATTGTGTATGAGTGCCTATATTCCCATAAATTCAAAAACAGTAAATGCAGATAAGGAGGAAACATAAAAAACTTCCCTGGGAAACAAGATGTAGACTTAGTACATAGTTTCCTTCACATGGAGACAAGCCTCCTGTTCATTGTATCATGCCCTTCTGTATTAAAATGTGGTATCTCCCCATCTGTATCTAGCGCTCACCCTCACCTATTGCCTACCTCTATGGTTGGACCTATTTTGGTGGGGATACACTAGCTACATGGTGAACCAGCAATGTGAGAGTCCAAATTCTTTATCTCAGAAGTAAACGTTCAATAGATGGACAGCTTGACACAGAGACAATAAGCATAGTGTTTAGAAGCCATAGCGGTAGGTAGGTTACAGATGGGTTCCCCTGTTAGACAGAATACACAAGCTGGTTTGTGGAAATACTTACAATTCCTTTCTAATGGTATTGAATTTTTTAAGCTTTGAATCAGGTCTTGGAAGATAGCTCAGCAGGAAAGAGTGCTTACTGAACAAACATGGGCACCTGAGTTAAAATTTCCAGAACTCCCAGAAAAAGTGAGGCATGGCCAGGTGCATCTATAACCTTCCGTGCTGGGAGACAGGAAACGGAGACAGGATCTCTCTAGGGCTTACTGGTCACCAGCTGAGCTCCATATTCACTAAGAAACTCTGTCTCAAGGGACGAAGGGCAAGAGTGATCAGGTTGTCAGAGGTCCTCTGGCTTCTGCCCATGCACACACACACCACTGTAAAAACCTCAAACTTCCTATCACTAAAATAAATTAAATTGAAATAAAATTTAATTTAATTTCCAAAAGTCTGTAAGTAGCATGCATTGTACTATTGGTAAGGTGTATTTTAATGATTGTTTTAAGAAAGTCTGTTTCATGGTAAGTCTTAATATTGCTATTATTCTTTCTTTTCTTCTCTATCTCTCTTCCCCCTTTCTCCTCCTTCCTTCTTCTCTCTCTGTCTCCCTCCCTTCCTCCCCTTCCCAGTGTGTGTGTGTATGTGTGTGTGTGCTGGGGATCAGACCCAGCATCTCAACATACTGGGCAAGCACTGTACCACTGAGCTTCATTCCCAGACCCCTGATAGTATTCTTTTATTTGATTTATATTCTTGTATTTACCTGTGGAGTTGCATTGTACTATACCACAAAATTGTTTTTAGTGGTTTATAAAATGCTTTAAATTGTATTTAATGTTATAATTCCATTATATTTAACCATCTTCTAATAAGCTAGAGCCCTAAATCTAAAAAATCTAAGAGATTGTATTTTGCATCTAAGTGTTGCAAAATTCTGTGTATGGAAACTTAGTCTTCAAGCCAGGTGGTGGTGGTGCATGTCTTTAATCCGGATCTCTGTGAGTTCGAGGCCAGCCTGGGCTACAGAGTGAGTTCAAGGAAAGGCAACAAAGCTACACAGAGAAACCCTGTCTCAAAAAAACAAAAAAAAAAAAAGAAAGAAAGAAAGAAAGAAAGAAAGAAAGAAAGAAAGAAAGAAAGAAAGAAAGAAAGAAAGAAAGAAAGAAAGAAAAAAAAAGAAAACTTAGTCTTCAAGGATTTTCCATAACATTCCAATTCTTGACACAACTTTATTTATTTATTTTTACCAAATATGAAACAAATTGTAATGATGAATAAAAAGTTCTCATAAATCACAAAAAATCTGCATTTTTCATTTTAAAAACCCTTTAATGTCTATGTAGTAGAATCAAGTTCATTCTACAACACCAGCATTACTGTGCCCATTGTCTAAATTACAGCTTCTAAAGGAATATCCTGGATCTTTGTATGCACAGAGACATTCACTGTGTTTAATAAATGGGGAAGAAAGAGTTCACAAAAAATAAGTAACAAGGGAGATTTAATGAATGAATGCCCTAAAGGGTAACCAGAGTCTCTTTACAGAACTTCACTGTCCCAAAGCTTGCATGCACCATTTCACATTTTAAAACATACTGGGGGCCTCTTTGAAAATAATTAGTACCTCATGGCAGAAGTAAACATGTTATAAAGATGAGTGTGGACTGAGCAGAAAATGAACAGAACTGAGTAAATATAAAATGAATGAGAACTCTTGTGTAAGGGGATTACTCTACCACAGGACGAACAAGGTTTTCTGTGCCCTCTCACAGTCCATCCTGTCCCTTTCTCTTCTTTTCAATTTAGAGTTTGACTTTATTTTGATTACAAAGTCAAAATCAGATTTACCAAAACAAAAACAAAACAAAACAAACCACATTTCATAAATGCTTCCTCTAAATAGCTATATCTACTTTGTTTTAGATTATATAGGCTACAAAATGAGAAATATAACATTCTGTTTTACACTAAAAGTAAAATAATCTGCTATGAAAAGAATAAAAGAACTGATAAACATATCCTCCAATTACCCTAGTAGTAATCCTGTGTATACATACAAGCTACATCCCATGTGCAAATCTACTGTTCACTATTTATTTCCAGGTGTCCAAAATTCACCTTTTAAACTTAATTAAAATTACCATTCAATTATGCAAACTGCTATTTTACATTAAAATGAGAAATAAAGTTCTCCTTGTGGGCATCTATTTGTGTTGTCATAGCAACCTTTATTTCAGTACCTACGTGCATGTCTTAGCATCCTGTTTTGTACAGGTTTTAAAACCCACCTAACATAATTAAATTTTCACAAATAAATTTGATGACACAAGGAAAATCAGTCACACACCGAGAAGGCAATTCTTATACAGGTTCTTCTTCAAGACAAGCAGCATGTTCTGATTGTGGCCTCTGCATTGAGTAGCTGTGGGAAGTAAACAGAGGTCAAAGCCATCACAACTGCAGCACCATCACGTACTTACCCTGGTCTCCTTTGCATCTGCACTGGGCACAGCACCTGGGATGCTTGAGGTGGTGATGGGAGTCATGGTAATCATTGCTGGGCTAAACTGAAGGACTGATAATTTACTAGAGAGAAGGACACTGTGCTAGCTTCCTTTTGCTCAGAAACATATTAATTTTGTGGGCAATTATAAGCAGTTGCATTGTCTTACTGTCAATTTTCCTCATCTTAAAATGCATTACTGATATAGATTCCATGTTTGTGTTTTCCCAACTTCATGTGTTAGAAACCTGATCCTCAATAAGACCATATCAAGGGTGGGGCCTTTGAGAGGGACTTAAGTCATGGAGTTACAGCCCTCATGGTGGGTTTTGTACCCTTATAAATGGAACCATAAGTGGAGCTATTCCACCCTCTGTAAACCACATGTGAATATAATGAAGAGAGCAGTCGGTACCAGGGAGGGGCCTCATGAGAGCACCACCATGTTGAAATCCACATCTAGCCTCTACCATGAAGAATGGCTGTGCTTAGATGCTCCCCAGTCTAGGACCCTCTGTTATGGCAACCTAAATCCACCCGATCTCAGTTTTCTCAGATGGGCTAGGACACAAGAGCACTGAGAGATGTCTCATCTGAACATAGGGTTGGATCCGTGATGTCGGTACTCAAGAAGCTGAGACGGAAGGATTGTGATTGGCATGACAGCTTGGGATATGGAGCAAGACCCTGGAGACCCTGTGTCAAAGACACAAAGACATTAGAACGTGTGTGTGTGTGTGTGTGTGTGTGTGTGTGTGTGTGTGTGTGTGTCCTAGTCTTCACCACCCATCAAAAACAGTATCTCTAAAAGATAAATTATTTCATCTTAATTTAAGGTAAAGGACTTTAAAGGTTATTAAGAGCCC